GCACACAAATGTCTCATCACATCGGTCGTGACCTGTCGCTAAAAAAATTAAAAAAACAAGATGACAATCTTAATCTTCTCACCTGAATTTTCATATTGAAATTCAACATAGTCGCCTGATTATTCCGCCTGAAGATCATCCTGATCATCACGAACGAGTAGCAGTGCTTACGAGATACGTAGATACTGGCAATATCGCTCTTTATCACAGTCTAATAATCTTCCTGCCATAATGTGCTTGTACGCGATGTATCGATCGCGATCGATATAAAAATTCAGTTCGATCTTTCGAAGACGATCGAATTTCGACGCAACGCTTGCAACATGATGATTGCGCACGAAAACCTCAATCGATCACAGACCGAAATTAATGACACATTATTTTATGTCGTTACCACTTGTTCAAAAGATTTGGAAATTTCCAATTTATTGAAAAAAAAAAAAAAAAATACAGAACACGCAAATGAAATTTTCGAGAGAATGTGAGAGCGCGATTAATAAATATTGCTCGCTAATAAGATACATCTTCTAACGTAATCGATATCGTGACGATCGATAAGTGTTATAACCGATCGAAAACATGTGCTCCTAACCGCACAATCATCAACTGATGCATCGCACGCAAGGTCGGTGGCATCCAGGAAGTGGAAGATGATCGTTCGGTCATACTCTAATAACGTCACCGATCGTAGTTGTGCGATGGAAGCAGTCTCTAATTGCGCTTTGTTGCGAGTTAATTATTTCACCAGCTTAACCACGTAACTAAGTGATGTTCTCAACGAGATTACCCCCCTTGGTTTCGAGATTAACACGAAAACATTAAGATATAGCTGCGCATTGTATAAGCGCGCACGACGTATGTAATTAAAATGTATTAAAGTAAAAAAAAAAAAAAAACATCCATGTTCCAACATAAGTAATTGTGTGTTGTAATTAAATTTTCATAAATGTTCAACGTTTGAACAAATACTCGTCGAGTATTTAATCTCCTCACATGTATATATATATATATATATACACATATAGTACAGCTAATCTCTAACTGAAATGAAATTCAGATCAGACCGGAAGTTAGTCCGGAATCGTTTCTCGATGATTCAAATGGACTTCTCGGGCGAATCGTTTGCGATAGCGAATAATGATCGGGCAACGAGCCCTGCACGTTATAGTTAACGATAATAAGGCGCGCTGCGCTAACTGGCGCAGCGTGCTCTCATTAACAAGTGTTCCGAGATCCGGCGCGCCGTAACGACGACGGCCAGTTTAATTAATTCATTACTCGCGCCCCACGCATTCTCAGTTTTTTTTTTTTTTTTTTTTTTCTTCTAATCAGTACATAGAAAGACTCGAATTCATATTGCGCTCTAAAAAGTTTTTCACAAACGCAATAATTTTTCCCAATATCTTACATCGAATTACAATGTGAGAACACGAGGTTTTTCTCTTTTGGAAGTTGTTTGGAAATTGTTCAATTTTGCGAATTAATTTTTTTGTTTTTTTATTTTTTTCACATTTTGTTTTTTCCCAACACTTAGTACAATCCGCCGTTGCAGAAAAGATAGCCTTGCATGATTGTTACATGAATATTACGTCACTTTGAATATGAAATCCGCAAATGTACCTCTCGCGCTTCGCGCTCATAAGAATAATGACAGTAGGTATGTGTTTCACCTGACGCCGGTGATCGACGTCGGTTATTTTCGCGCATTGTCTTGGATCCCGCTTTAATATTTTCCCAGGCTTTTCTTCTCGCGGCGCTCAGGAAGGAAAAGAGAAAAGGCGCCATATCCGCGTTTATCGGAAAAGAGCACGAATTACATATTTGCGCGGAAACAATCAGATCGTGAGTGAAAGGTCCGCAAATGTTCCTTTCGTCGGCCTCGAGCGCCGACGGGAATGCGCGTTATTGCACCGAGAGAGACCGATCTAGGTGACTCCCTCGTGGCTTCGTTCGCGAACCCTTTTTTAATCCGGAAGTCTCGCGCGTTTCATCTCTCGCGGCGAGCGCGAAAAATGTGAAAGGTGAGCGCCGTTTTCTCAGATTTTACGCGGCCTATGGCAATAATAAAGTCGTTGAGAGCGTTTATGCAGTGTCGGAAGTGTCGATGCGCGCGGAAATAATGCGGTGGGGAAAAATCTGTTGCGCTAATTGCGCGCGAGACCAACTTAATAAATTTAAAAAAAAAACTGGGCTAAATAGTTCCGCGAACTTAGCCAAATGTTCCCGATGCGCGTCGGGTAAAGGGAAACGATATCGCGTTAAGGCCAACGATCGGAATCTCTCAGGGAAAGCTGCTTTTGTAAGCGCGCGTCTTTATTCACTTGTGTGGGAAATATTACAGAACACAAATATACGCGTATATTCTTTGCACTTGCGCCGTCCTTCATAAATATTCTTATGAACGACACTTGCGCTTGTCTGTTGCAACTCTGTTATCGGCCTTGACACAACCACGATTTCTCGATGCGAAAATTAATTTTTCTGGAAACGAGGGTGTGTGAACCGTTAACGTTCTCCGTTGTCTCGAACAAATGTGCGAAAACAAAATATTCGATGTCGCGCTTGTATTTTTTTTGTATTTTTTCTCTAGATCGGAAATGCAATAAAAATTAAATATGCCTCGCGCGCGCGTTTGTTTTAAACGCTCAACCTACTTTACTCTCTACCTGTCCGCGTTCCTGGCCGCGGGCGAAGCCGCCGATTACCGATGCACCGCTGCAATCACGTCGTGTGTGGCGCACGATAAAATATATAAGTTCGCGGGAATTCACGCGAGAGATTCGCGGGCGTGTTGGCGCGCGAAAAAACTCGAAAGTCCGAGGTTCGCGCGATATTCCGAGGTGTTGAAACGGAAATGCGGCGCAACGCGCGTAATAGTCCAGCAGTCATTACCGTGCGTGCAAATGCATAATAAATGACGCATCGACCCGCGGAGGACTTGAAAACGCGCGCGTAAAAAAATAAAAAAAATAAAAATAAAAAAATTTACGATTTGAAAATTTTGAAAAATTTACGACTATTTATTCTTTTAATCCTATAAATATATAGAAACATATGTATTTCTTACTAACTTAATTTTGTGTGTACGAAATTATAGCTTAGGGCGCAGAATAGCGTCAAAACTTTTAAACTATAAAAAAAAAAAAAAAAAGTAAAGATATAACAGACAATTGAACTGAAGGGGAAGATCGTTGGGCCGAGATATACGCGGTTGCGATATACGATAAGCATGGAAAATCGCGGCGCGTAAGAAAAGCCGGCGTGACCACTGCTCGAGAAGGAACGCCTCGTTGAACGAACCCGAGCCCATAGACCGAACCGTTACGAGTCAACGGCCTGAGCGTTATAACGCGCGATATATACGTGTCTCTCCTCCGGTCCGATCTCGCTATCGATAGCCACACGCACCTTACGGTGCCACAAATTCCTGCGGCATTTCTGGCTGCAAATGATGTCATTTGTTTCCGGATTAAAAAATTTACCGCTCACCCGCAGTCGAAAATCCCATCTAGCGAAAAGTTAATTGATTGTGAATCACAAACGGAAACCGCGAGAGAACACAAGATCCCGAACGGATGGATTTATCGATGTAAATGATTAAGAGTAAAAAAAAATGCATTTTATTATTTGAATAATTTCTTTCTTACATTGCGTTAAACTTCTTTCGCTTTCTCGATCGAAACTTGCCGAGTGTCGTGAGAAATTATCTTTAGCAATTATATTATTGCGTGAATATATATGTGTATATATAGTTATTACATCGACCTATCATTAAGAGACCTAAACTGCTCGGTTTCTCTCGTGAAAGTCCGATTACGCGGGACATTTGTTAGATCAAAATCTAACGTAACGGCGATAATAGCGTTTTCGAGCGCTGTGTATATTTATTTAACTCTCTTTATAATTCTATAACTGAGAGAATTACGTGTCCCTTATCTATTTCGATTACGCGGTCGTATATGTTTAGAAGATCTCAATTAATCTCAATTAAAAAATTCTTCTGTTTCCTGATGTAAACTTCATTATCCGGGAGGAAAGATTTATAGCTCGCTCACATGGATAACAAAATGCTCATTCAAATGTTCCTCCAATGTAGAATATCGCGCGACGATGATTTCTCTCTTCTTGACTGTCTCTTCGATCGCGGCTCAAAAACGAACAATTGATCTCCGACTCGGCAAAGTTCGTCGCATAATCTCGATGAACAGTCTCGTTCGTATATGGGGAGAAATGTGGATCAGTTCTGTCATTATCGCAACGATTGACCGTGCACGGCGTAACGAAGTTGCGAGGAAAACTTGCGGCGCACGCGTTTGTAATTAAAAACCGACCGTTTTACGATTTGTAGAATGTATATATAAATAAATCATTGTAGGAAAAAAAAAAAAAAAAAAACAAAACAATGTTTACGCAAGATGTTTATAGTGTGGGAGGAGGATTTTCCTTCGCCGGAGGAGGATTTTCACCGACAATAGCGGAGTTAATAGAACGTTACGCGTAAAAAACACGCGGAATCGCATGCTCCGTTTCTTCGACAGAGACGCGAGAAACGGAGACACGACGAGAGCAGAATTATTGCTCGGTAGTATAAAGCAAATGCTCGGATGCGAAAATGGCCGGATGGCATTTTGCGTGCGTGTTTGTGAAACGGCCTGTTCCAAGGCTCCCCGAAGGGAGGCGCGAAAGGCATTATAATGAAAAGCGACATAATTGTGCGAGAGAATGCAGCATACATAGGCCGTGCCGCGTTGCGACACGTTTCGAAATCACACGTGTACCCACGTACGCCCGAAAGAATTGGCACTTTCTCTGAGAAGACACGTTTCTTTAACGTTCCAACAACGTTACAACCGAAATGACATCCTTGTTATTCGAAAAGTCAGATATCTAACAGTATCTTCTTATAAGTCTGAATAAAAGAGATTGTTTTCCAAGTATTATTCTGTCTTCCACTTCTTCTTTCTTATTCGTAAATTTGTATTCTGATTTTTTTTCTCCAGATGTAATTCTGAGGGAACTGCTGCTGCTGCTGGCAGCCGCGTTCGTTGTCGCGGCGACGACGTCCGTCTGTCCATGGGCGCAGCACGTGGTGGACCTCGAGAGTTCGTGTATCTGCGACTACAATCTGGCCGGCGATCTCTCGGTGCAATGCGACATAGTCGAGTACGAGCAGCTGCTGTCGGCGATGCGACGTTTCGCCACCAAGACGCAGATTGATCTCTTCTACATCAATAATAGTACAATCGGCACTATAAGAAACAGCTCGCTCGTCGCTCTGAAAATTGTCAACATTCAGCTGTCCGGCTGTCGCATCAAGAGCATCGAACCGGAAGGTTTCAAGGGTCAGGAGAATCATCTGAAGAGTCTGAATCTTAAGGATAACGAGCTTACGGAAATTCCCAGCTCCACTCTGAAAACTCTCAAGAATCTCACCGTGCTCGATCTCTCGATGAACAAGATCACCAAAGTCAACGACAACGCTTTCGCCGGCACCAAACTGATCACCTTAAAACTATCCGACAACGAGGTTACTCTCGCACCGGGATGTTTTCGCGGTCTCGAGAGAACCCTGAAGAATCTCAATCTCAAAGGTACGCGGCAGAAGAAGGCGCCGGAAGCGCTTAGAGGTCTGAGAACCTTAGCTTTTCTCGATCTATCGCAAAACAGCATTCGCGAGCTCCCCGGCACTTCCGGTACTAAGGCTTTCGAAGGTCTCGAGTCTCTCACGGGACTGAATCTCGAGAGAAATTTGATCCAGAATATCGGTCCGGATGCGTTTTATGGCATCAGGAACACACTGAGCTCCCTGAGCCTGCTGAACAATCTTATTCCGGATTTTCCCACAGCGGCTATCAACAGCATTCACGATCTTCGTGTAAGTGTGCATTTAACATTCTCACATTTAAGAACAATCAAGCTCGGCAAATTTTACAAAAGCGAACGGCTGAGAAAATTGATAAACTGTTAATCGAATAATTTAGTAACTATTCTGTTTCCACATTTTTTGCAAGGATTTTAAACGAAACAGAGTTTTTTCTACAATTACCTTACGTCACAACTTACATAATTTTTTTTTGTAGATCAATTAAGGTATATATTTTTTTTTTATAAAACTGTCCAGGTGTTGGACATCGGATTCAATCTGATCACCGAACTACCGATCAACGCCTTTCAAGGAAACCCGACGATCACGTTGCTCGCGATCGACGGTAACCCGTTGTCCACGGTACCGGAAGAGGCGCTCGCCCGACTGAACGGTACCCTACGCGGCTTAAGTCTGGGCGGGCGATTCCTCGTCTGCGACTGCCGATTACGGTGGATCGTCGAGTGGATCAAAACGCGGGATCTGCAGGTTACCAGTCGCGAGCGCAAGCCGCAATTTTGCGGAAGCCCGCAGCGGTTGCAGGACAAGAGTTTCTACAACATCGATCCCGACGGTAAAACTTTTTGTACAGGAGAAGATCAATTGAGATTTCGGAAATTTTTTAATTCAAAAACTATTTTTTGCGCGCATTAATTTAAAAAAACCTTCAATTATTTTTAATTCTCACACATTCTCACACACGCATCTTAATTTCTTTAAAGAAATCGTGTAAAAATAATTTAATGTCTTCAAGTGCTCACAATTCAATATTAAAATACTAACACACACACACACACATTCGAAGGTTTTTAAAATCCACATTGCTCGCGCAGATATGAGCTGCGAGCGCGTGCCGGAGATCGTCGGGATCGGGACGGTAGAGAGCGTGGACACCAGAGAACCGACCGAAACGATTGCTGGAAATGTCGGCAGCCATTTTCCGACCGCTCGATCAACGATCTCCACGACCGAATTAATCACCACCACGTCGTTATTGACGACCACGGTGACGGTACCGTCGACGACCGAACAAAGAAGAACGACACCGCCAGCGCCGCCCCCGACCTTCGTCCCTACGACTCGACCTACCGTCGCGCGTACCGGAAACGTCGTGGTGGTGAGAACCACTCCGTTGCCGTCGAAACAACCGCAGGAATTCATGCAGCAGCACCAGCCGAGACCGCCACTGGTACTGGGATCGCCACATCATAAATCAAAATCGAACGAGAAAGATATTGTGGTGAAAGACGTTATCAGACAAGACAACGCGGTTATCATATACTGGGACACCGAGGCGGCAAATATTCTCGGCTTCAAGGTGATCTATCGGCTGTTCGGAGACAATAGTTTCAAGCAAGCACCGCCGCTGGAGGCCAGCGAACGAGAATTCAAAATTAAAAACGTGCCTCTGCAGGTAAATCATCAGTTTCTTTCGTCAGAAACTTTCTCGATTTAAACTTTGATAAAATGTTTTATATTCAAGTTTGTTGGTTTCTATTAATCTCAGTTTCTCCAATCAATTTTCTTTATCAAATAAATGGTGTTCGCAGGAATGTCTTGTAGTTTGCGTAGTCTCGCTGGAGGAGACCAACATCACGCCGGCGAATGTGCCCTACGGTCAGTGTCGCGAAGTCAGAACGGAGAATTCGCCCACCTCGAACATGGACAAGATCACGATCGCCGCGAGCGCGGCAATTTGCGCTACGATCGTCGTCGCGGTGATCATCTTCGTGGTAGCGAACCGACGCCGTGCCCGCAAGCTGCACACTCTGCACAGCATCGATCAGACAAAGATGGGCGGACCGATCACCGGCTTGCCGGTCAACTGTTGCTCGAACGTCGGCCCGACGCCCAGTCCCGGTGGGCCCTTATCGTCAATGGCTACCTTGAGCGCTTACAACACTCAGAAGGAGTGGGATCAGGTGTCGGCTTACAGCAACAGGAGTATACCGCGACCAAGGATCTTTCCTATCGATCGGCAAGGTATTGTTCTTCTATCATTTATAAATATTTTCTTGTCTATGGAAAAAACAATGAAACTTGAGATAATTTAAAGTGATTTACAGACGGTTCTTACTTTAAAAAGATTCTGTCTATAAATTTATTTTATTGTTACATTTTTGAAAAATATAAAAAAAAAACAGATAGACAAGTATCTACAAGCGGTAGATCGCTAATTCTTATTGAACGTTTTGTGCTTCAAATGCAAGCTGTAAAATGCGCGAATGATGGATTTCAGGATCGATTACCAGGGCATCTTGTATCGATGATGTGCGCTCCCAGACCGGACATTACAGCACCAAGGCACGATCGATCGCCGACGGTCAATCCCAACACAGTTTCTCCAATAATTCTACGAGATACTTCGCCAACACCGCGTTGGCCTCCAATCTCGTCAGCACGAGACCAGGTCGGTTGGACTTTGTCTCACTCGCACTTTCTAATTTTTAATTTTGTCTTTGCGTTATTCAACATTTTCGTCATATTTCAGAATTGCGACAATCGCGCCAATCATTAGCGGCCGCTTCGGAGCGGATGTCGCGCTCCAACTTCTCCGGCAGCAATCATCTGCCGCCGCATTCATCGGCCCGACGACAACGGCCGCGTTCGCGTAATCGCACTTTAGAGCCGAACCCGCCGCGACCCGGGAGCCGATACAGTTTGGCGGACTCCACGCACACGCTCAACAATTACGACGAGAACAACTGGACCGATCACGACATGGATATTTACATGGCTCGCAATCCAACCACGAGAAGCGGCCTCGTGCCGCTTTAAAAGTTCGACGGTCTCCCCGTGTCATCCGACCGATTTTTACTCTTGCTCAAGCGTGTTCAAGTAGAATGTCAAGTCCAAATCTTAAGAAAAAAAATCTGTTTCCGCTCGTGCGACTCGCTTTCAAGCCGAAACAGCAACCGGAGCGGAGTTTAGATAATCTCAATAATCGTTCTCCGATCGAGAATTCGGACACACGAATTTTGTGAGTGATTTCAAAAGACGCTCGCGGGATTTTATATCGAATAATAAGTGAAAAAAAAAAAAAAAAAAAAACAGCTCTCACAGATGCGCGCACTCGCACACTGTGATGATGCTTGTGCGGTCGATGCGCAAATTGTTTGTGCGTCAGATCGACGAACAATTTTAGATATACAATGTCAAAATGTAGTGTTCTAAGCAGTGTTTTATGTAAGAATACTCTTAAATGTTTGATTGTCGAATCGTCAAGAAAAAACGAGGTCTGAGAGCGACCTTGGTCCTTTCGACGGTGTTTTCTCGACATACACGATCTTTATTGCAGTGCTACCCAAAGACTATATAGCCGAAGCACATCTGTCTTCAAAGAAGCGTTATCATGACCAAGCGAAAAACAACATATCATAACGACTTCGCTCTCGATCGCTCCGAATAACGGATGCGACGAGAGAGATGCGAGAGCCTTTATACAAAAGGCTTTTTGACTTTACCCCTTAACTTTAATAACTCGTGTGTATTTCCATTTCCGTGCGCGCTGATAACGACTACAATAGTCTTCTCTCGTCTCCTAGTGTGCTGATAACAAATAAAGAAATTACATTACTCACCCCGGTATCAGGATGTTTCTTTCCCAACGAAATCTGATCTCTTGAACGAACTCGTGCCAGAGTTGAGCCAACGCGGTCGCGCCACCGAGATTGTGCGTGCAGTGCGCCGCGACAATCGACAAACGCCACACCAGACTGTCCATCGTGCAGGTCTTCACACCTTTCCACTGATCGTCCTCTACGTTCGGGGTTGTGTCGTGGTAAGGAAATTTCTGCGAGAGAATTTAAATTCGCGGTTATTAACGTGTGCGCGTCTGACACGTTCAAGTGAACATCAAGCGGATTCTTTTCTTTTATAAAACAAATTGTTAATGAGAAAGAGAAAATAAAACCGTACCGTCGTGTCGTCCGCATCCGGAAAGAGGAAGTAAAGTATAGGCAAAAGTATCTCCTCGGAGATTGGACCCTCGACATTTTTATTTTTCTTCACGCTACCTCTACTCATGACCGCCGAGATTGTGGGTATTTTCGACTCGGTGAGCACATTCAAGGCGGAGCTCAAAGTGTCGTCGATGTAGGACGCGTTCTCGCCCAGCAACTCCACCATGGATTTTGTATTGTTACAGAGGTGTAGAAAATCCGTAATGTACTCGCTGAGCAAACAAGCCGGCAAAGTTACCATTTTCACCTGAACCGACCATTCGGGAGCAAGTTGCGGGTCGAGATCCGAGTATCCTTCGCTGTCCACCACAACGTTATCAGGCATTTCTGGCCACGTGGCGAATAGTTTGAGTTCTCTGAAAACGAGATAATGAGAAATATAGAAGTCTCTTGTAATCTTCATAGCAAGTAACATATTCGTTTTTCCAAGTATACCCGACGGGATCAAACGTTGCTCCGAAAGGAAGTTTGCCCAGTTCGGCCACGCCTAATGTTTCGCCCTGCATAAAATCGAAATCCGGAGGCTCCTGCGTCCACGTGCTGTTAGTCCAATCCTTCAACAAATAAGAGAATCTAACGGATACCTTTGTGGAGTCGATTCTCACTCCACAGCCCTCTCCAATCTTCTGTTTGAAAAGAGCAAGTAGACCTGCAAATAATTGTTATCTGTAATTATCTCCTTATGTTGTTTTTACAAAACTTTCACAATTAAAAAGCGATATAATTAAAGAGTATATCAAAAATAAAAAAATAAAACATACAAACCAGTAAGATATCTGCAATATGGTGGAACTTTCTTCAGATGGACCATGTCGAGATTCACAGAGGTTCCTTTGCCAGCACAACCACCGAGATACATTTTCTGCCAAGGTTCCTGCACCTGCACCAATGCGGGAATGTAGCTAAAATGTATTAAAAATTTAGAACAAAAATATTGCTGCAGTAGAAATTCAATTATGTTTCAAGTGTCGAATATAATTACCAATTTGCATTATTGGTAGCAATTGTCAGCGAGCTCAACAGAATCTTGATACGTGTCTCGTCTGTTAAACTCGCTTTGCGAGCTGGTATCAAGACAAGGAATTCTCTAAAGCCAAAATAACGAACAATTTCCATGTAGTTATCATCGAGTCTCACAAAGTCGTTGGATATGTCCAAGGCGTCTTTTTGACATTGTATCCACTCTTCTTCACGTTCCTCATCGGGATTTGCCGCATCGTCTTCTGCGTCGTCTTTTTTCAACTTGTAATATTTCAGGGAAAATTCTACGTCTGAAATAATAAATAATAAATAGAAACGTCCAGTGAATCAAGAACGAAACTGATATATCTCTACTCTGCCGTGTTAAACACAAACCTGCGAAATTTATTTTCTCTGATGTCTCGTGCCACTGACAGTTGACGAAGTCTCCTGACATCAAAGGACTCGCGACTTTTGCGTGAGGTAATTTCCATTCGTGCATGATTTCCTCGAGCCGCGCGATGAACACTTCCCATTCGGAAACGGTGGTGAAGTCGTGATGATAAAAATCCTCGATCTCCACGTGATGCATTTTTCAGGCACAAATTTTTTTCAATCCAAAAAGATACTGTTTACTTTCAGAATCGCCCATATGACGTTTCCACGGGCATTCGAAGTGCGGAACAGCTGATCACAACCCTTTGCGGTTGCCCGTTCCTTTCACAGATGACGTCCAAGTCTACCTTGGAAAGTAGCGACATCTTGCAACAAGGTGTTTAAAAATTTCAAAAAGAAATGTCTCACAAACGTAATTATAGAGAAGTATGTAATTTATATATATAAATATATATATTTATATTATAGTATAAATATTTAAAGTTAACGTGTATACAAATATTTTTATTTTTATATAATAATACAAATATTTAAATTTCTCTATATATATATATATATACGTATGTACAATAGAAAAATTAACTTAAATAATTTTGTACAGTTGTAAAATATTTATCAAAAATTATGTATTATATATATAAACTGCGAGATATCAAATGATAAATTACATGTAGGAAATAATTATGTAAATTGTGAGTAACTGATAAAATAGACGCACTCCGATGTCGCTTATTCTTAATTTATATACTGTTTACCAACGATATATCATAGCGCTGTACTCGAAGATATCAATTGAGCACTATTTGTACGACCTCTCTTCCGTGTACAAATAATTACCACTATTAATTATGACGTCTTCTCTTTGTTAGAAATGATATGTTGTTGCCACGCGGTGGCAATTTATGATACTTGAAATTCAAATGCTTCGATGCGTTGATAAAGAAAATGAGTTGTGGAAATACACAGCACGCGCGTTCTGCTGATTACGACTAATTTTTGAAAAGAAATAAATGATTGTGATTTTTTTTTATCGAGATACTTTTTCGCTGATGATCAATGTGCATCTCGCGCGGGACGGCGTCAAAAATTTATTTTAATATGACCACGGTAATCTACAGCGAGGATTAGAAAGGGGAAAAACACGCGCGGCGGAAGCCTATCACACGCAGTGACGCTCAAACGACGAATTTCTTCGGGTATGGTAAGCAAATTAGCGAAATCTCAATCTCATATCATCGTATGGTCTTCTAAAAAAAAAAAGGCAAAACAAATCCCAGAAGTTCTCTGCACTCGCCAAATATTTCATTGATTTAAAAAAATAATCGATTTCTTCGAGGAAACTGAATAACACACGCAAAGTGAAAAGACTAATTGCTGCAGAAACTATGTGAATCAAATGAATGGGGGAGGAAATTTTATGCATCATCTTCGTGTAAATAGATATTAAAAAACTTTACGCACTAGCGTCGACAAAAGATACGACGAAACGTACCGTAATAACTGGTTCATTCGTTGCCACAATTTGTTCGTATTTCAGCAACACTTGCACGCTACTTCGCGTAATTCTAATGGGTCGACAAGATGATAATGTGATGATAATGACAAAGAAGGTTGTGCGACACTGACGAAACGGACGTGCGTCGTCATTGGCGTAGAACGTTACTCCAAGCTGGAGAATACATTAACATATGTTGAATACATATTGTATTATTATTGTCATCAAGTGCGGCAATTGCTCAACGACGCTCTGCGCAATTAAAAAAAAAAAAAAAAAGTAAGTATCTTTAATTGACTACATTTACAGTATGCGTGCGCACATGCAAATAGTTTCCACACGTCCACTTCTTATCTTCTAGCTTTATAGTTTTTGCGAACATTATTTTTTTACGCGATGCTTTGCGCAATGACTCCGAGCAGAGCAGATTTTTCTTTCTCGAGGATAAAACAAAAATTTTTCAAAAATACGCTACTACGATTTTTATGTCAAGAGTGTCTTCGACTCTTGAAGAGTAGTGTTCGGCGTGACCCTTCTTTTTGCAATCGCTATATGCGCCAATGCGGAGAGTGATGCGTGCTCCCCGAGAGAGCAAGGGCTCGCTCGGACGTGTGACGCGGTTTTAGTATCGCCAGCTCCGGTAACGCACACGCATCGCGCGAATCATGCTTTCCCACGAGAAGACATGATCATCCGTTCGCGCGGCGGCACGCGCCGCGCGACTCGTCACTGATATCGACGATCGTCGCGAGATGCTGCGCGCCGAGATTCGCCGGCTCTGTTTTTGCGCGCGAACCGAAATCAGCAGCGCGAATAATTCCGCGATCGCGAACGCTGATTAACAAATTTGTTGTGACAAAAAAAAAAACGCCAAAGAATCGTCGAAGTGACTCCGATGTAAAACACTTGTATGAAACATTATATGCAAATTGCTTTTTTTTTTTTTGTAAAAAAAGGAATGAGAGAAAACAAACAGAAATATGATGGAAATCATTTCACACAAGTACGTGTGTTTATGCCAGGTTTTAATCACGATTTTATGTTTCGCTAAAATTGTGTTTTTTATTAATGTGTGATTTTTGCAATCTGTTCAAAAGAAAAATATGCGATAAAATGTTACCCTTCTGAAATATCGATTATCGTTACTCCGTAATTGTTAATTTGCAATTGTTTTTTTTTTCTGACAGATTTTGTTACGGAGGAAAAAGTGTTTTAAATCGCAATAAAATTTTTATTACTTTTTTCTCTGTGTGCGTTTTGGCAGTAGGAAATTTTTTGTGCGGCGCTCGAGAACATATGTACATGTGTACATGCAATGCATCGCGTGATAACTCGACTACATTTCGAGCTTTGATAACGTGAGCGTGACGGTATTAAAATCGTCAAGTTCGCCGACAGAAAAATGAAGATATCGACGATAAATCAAAGCAAATTAAGTTGTTGATTGTGTACCTTAATAGGATATTTTAAGAAGTTTAATTAACTGCGAATTTTTTTTTCTTTTCTTAAAATTTCAGTCTGTGTTTGTTAAGAATATCACTTTTATTTACACGTTCCAAAAGAATACGTTATCTTCTTTGCAGGTGTACGTGTTTCTGCTTTTCGATATAGACACGAGGAGTTCATGATGCAACACGGGTTTGGAACCCGTAAGTCTTAGGTGAAAGCAGTGGCGTCGAAACGAAAAGTGCGTCGCGATAAAAACTGCAAAAAAGATGTTACAAATTGTTTGCGCAACATTTGTGCGTAAATGTACGTGGAGACACAACTGTTAATGTACATTGATCGAAGTAGCAGAGTGTAAAATCGTGTCAAATTATTGTTGATGCAATTTCTGCAAAAAGTCATCGAATCGTACCGCTTTAAAGCGATTGGACTTGATTTTATCGCGCACAAGTGCCGTTACAAAAAGATCGTACGGAAGAAATGAGATTGAGGCGGAGCAGAAATTCGCATTAGCGAGTTTTGCGATCGTTTGATCGCGGTTTTAAATATTTGTATCGGTAAACGTGCAACGAAGAAGACAGTGCTGCGAATCCATCGCTTTAACGCGGTCGGAATATTAGCGTTCGCGAGATTTTTCGAGTCGATGCCGGCAGAATCTTTTTTGGAACAAACGTGTCCACGCCATTGGACGCGCAAGTCGCCGGTGAACGAATCACATCGAAGTAAAGGGTAGAAGGTGGTGGTGACAGCGGCGTGTATACTGGCGCGAGCGCAAAGAGGAGAACAGCACAGTTAAAAGAGCGGACGACCGGCTGTTCGGTCTTCATCCATTTCCATCGTTACCACGGACGCCGCTGCAATTGCGCACGTGCACCCGTTGCAAAAATATTTCCGTTTACGATAGTGCGATATTTTTCGTTTTCTTTTTTCTTTCATTACTCATTCTTCTTTTTTATCGCGTATCGCCGCTTCTGTCTTATCCACCCACGTGGACGTAACATATATACATATACGTTTGTTATGTCAACACAATACGCCGGTCGATTACATCAGATGGTCGAGTGGAAATACGACTTGTGATAATAGAAACGCGTGTCACTATCGAATAATAATTAAATCTGCAACACGTACACGTGCAAAAGAATGCCGGACGTAGTCGCGCCGATGGAGAAGACGGTTCAGCAGCCGAGTGCCGCGGGATCCGGTAGTGAAGGTGTTAAATTGAAAAAGGAACTTGGCTTGTGGAACGGTGTGGCGATCATCGTCGGCATCATTGTCGGCGCTGGAATTTTTGTGTCGCCTAAAGGTGTGCTAGTGAACAGCGGCAGCGTTGGCCAGGCCCTCATTGTCTGGATCTTCTCCGGAATCCTGTCGCTTATCGGAGCACTATGTTATGCCGAGTTAGGTGAGTTGAGTGACAAAATTTCGTGTACGGTTACTCCTGCCGTGAACTCTCTGCTTTAAATTGGCGCGCTTGACATGTGGAGTCAGGGCTGATTCAATGCGTTCTGACGCCTAACGCAACATCTGCAATGTTTTAATACTATATATAAAATTATATATATAATATATATTTATTTTCTTAGAAAAATGCATAAAATATATTTCAAATTTGTACTTTCGTTTTTGCAATTACATGCCTTCACTTTTTTATTTTATGTATAAATTGAAATCTCAAATGTTTCCAGACTTTGTAAAATATTTATTGTTTATTTGACATATTTTTCACTATTTGACATATTTTCAAGTACTTTTATCTGAGTTTTTATATTCTTCTTTCTATCTAATCCTAGAATATTCCTTTTTTAGTCTCGAAATTACGCAGGTTTTTCTGACAGACCCTGCAATTTTATTTAGTCGCACACAATTCAATCTGTAATTAATCAATTTTCATATAAAATGTGTGACATCGAAACACCGAATTGTAAATAAACAATTATAATTTTATGCTTGTTTTATAATTTGTAATTTGACATAAAAAGATTTAAATATGAACGAAAATATATGCAAAGTTTTTCAGATTCTTGTAATTATACTCTAGAATCGCAAACTATTGGAAACAGAACAGTATTGTATTCAGCTCTTATCAATACAGCTATATGTTATTACGATCTTGTAGTTTCATGCGATATCTTGCTGCCTACGTGTTTATATTGGCATCAATGACCTCAGAAGCAAGTTTAGAAATCTAAACGAGAGTTTAAATTGAGTTAACAATATCGTTTAGAAATTTCAATTTTATAAAATGTTGATATATTTTTATAAATAATAAACATCGATATAAATAGAAATAATGAATAGAAGTAATGAATAATAAAACTACAGATGAATTAAGTACAGATCTATTTCTATTTCATTTGAAATTGTTTTGTTAAATTACTCCATCTGGAAACTTTATGAAATATAAAGAAAAAAGAGATGTGATTTCAATTATAAAATTACAAAGATTTTAAATTATTTAATTATTTAAATATAAAAAACTTGGCACATTTTGTGTAACACACAATATATTTTTATAATAATCATTTCCGTATTTTACATTAACAATATTACATAAAGTGGCTCAGATATCGAAATTCGGTTATGAAAAGTTTTTTGCATCAAGAAAGTATATCAAACAATGATATAATTATCAATAATGTCTGAAAAAAGTAAAATCAGTTTTTTTTAATCATTATCAAACTTCGCTTTTCGTCTCTGCAAATATTTTTTTAACATCGATATTTTATCTTTATTATTCTCACAGTTTATAATTATTTATATTATAAACTGTTATATTTATATTATAAACCTTTTTATTTCAAAACAACTCCGCGTGTGTCTTATTACACAATTGTTGTGCCTGTTATTTAATTAAAATTTATTTTTATTTTTAAATAATATGAATGCTATAGTAGATTTATCAATTCACGCGTAGAGAAAGCTATCGGATTTTGAACTTTCCACTTTTTTTCAAATCTATCTCGTTGATTATTGTTACACAATAAATTGATTCTGATCGATTAGATTGCAAAATTGTAATTGATACTTGTTTTTATTCCGCATTCCGTGAGTTAACAAGATAATTAGATAGCCGTTGATATAATTATGCAAAAACTTGGTCGAGCAAAAAAGCGCCAAGTACAAATTCAGAAATTACAAGGATATATGTACGTTCGACACAATTAGAAAGGAAGTGAAATCAATATATCGTAGCTGTTTTTATAACAAGAGAACAAGTAGAACACACAAACAGTTCATATAGAAACTGATTAAGTATACGAGATTATCTGATTGTAAAGACTTATCGATTTATATACTCGTTTTTATCAAATCAAGCATTTCTTTGCTTTCTGGTAAATGCGCTCAAAACGCTTCTAATATTTTTGTATTAACACAAGTAACATTAAATAGTTTCTCAAATAAAAACAATATAAATATATTGTATCAATATTAGTAATATATATAGTTCAATAATATCTGTTACTTATTTACTACACTATATTTTCTAATTTTGCACATTGAAAGTAAAATGCAGCAGCAGTTAATTGCTAATTAAATACGAAATGTGTTTCTGCGGAAAGAAAAAAATTTAAATGATACCTTCTTGCGTTTGTGCAGGTACGATGATTCCAAAATCTGGTGGCGACTACGCATATATCAGCGACGCCTTTGGACCATTACTAGCATTTCTCTATCTATGGGTGGCACTGTTTGTCCTGGTGCCAACAGGAAACGCAATTACGGCACTCACGTTTGCGCAGTATATTCTGCAACCCGCTTGGCCAGGATGCGAACCACCATACGAAGCGGTGCGACTTCTGGCCGCTGTAATCACATGTAAGATATAAATTTATTTCTTTTTTCCGTTGTAAAACCCCCGAGAAAACATTATTTCTTCTAACATTAGATAAACATTAGATAATCATCGGATACACAAGCAAATCGGAAAAGAAAAAATAATAAAAAAGTTAAATTATTATTTGCGTTTATTAAATTACAACGCGGCAATAATGTTTTTGTCCCGCTGCTCTCGTAGGTCTGTTGACCTACATCAACTGTTCCAACGTCAAATGGGCGACTAGGGTACAGGACATTTTCACCGGTACCAAGATCTTCGCTCTGGTGATCATCATGGTGGCCGGTTTAGTGTGGCTCTGCATGGGTCACACGGAGAACTTTCAACATCCGATGGCCGGCACCAACACCCAGCCCGGTTATATCGCCTTAGCAATTTATTCCGGACTGTTTAGTTATTCGGGCTGGAATTATCTCAACTTCGTGACGGAGGAACTCAAAGAGCCGTACAAGTAATTGCAAACTTTTCGCGAGCATTTAGATCTTAGTTGCAATTTTCTAATTGAAATATGAAATTTGATGAAAATGTGTTCTCAACTTTTTGTTTTACAGAAATCTTCCTAGAGCGATTTGCATATCGTTGCCACTGGTAACATTGATCTACGTTTTTGCGAACGTCGCTTATTTCGTCGTACTCAGACAGGATGAGATACTCGCATCGAATGCCGTTGCCGTTGTGAGTTTTTATACGTTAATAATAGTTGACACTCTCTATCTGCGCGATAGTCTGACATTAAAAAGGAATTTCCTTTCTAGACCTTCGGCGATAAGTTACTGGGCGTTATGTCGTGGATCATACCGTTCTTCGTGGCGTGTTCGACATTCGGAGCATTGAACGGCGCGATCTTCGCATCGTCTAGGCTATTCTTCGTCGGTGCCCGAAACGGACACCTTCCAACTGCCATTGCTCTAATTAACGTTCGCAACTTGACGCCTATGCCATCTCTCATCTTCCTCGTAAGTACATTTCGAAGCTAAAATTTTGCGCTCTACAATTCATGATCTTCTTTATAATTGCTTATAATTCAAACATTACTATTTTTTTTTTTTTTTATAGCGATATTCTATTTTTGTATTCGAAATTTTATTTCGAAATGTGTTCCAAAGAATCATTGAAATATTTTTCAATAATTTTGGAACGTTCCGTTCGTATAAAACTACCTCGTTTTAAAAAATTTAACTATCAATTTATCGATAAACTTCTTATCTCTCCTCTTTGTACCACTTCAATCACTTATTTAAACAACTAAAGGAAATAGATCGTGATATTGATTACTATAATATATATCTCAGAAAACACATTGTATAATGATATTTTACAAACTAGAATTGAGTCACATGATATAATGATAATATCGTAGAGTTCAACAAGTTCATTTCTTCTTAAACTTTTCGAATATTTGCGCGACTTTATATAGACAATAATATAAAATTTCATATGATTTTTTTTTACAAGAAACTACTGCAAGCAAAATAAAAGAAATGTGACCAATTTACTAACTCCGTTAAAACAATCTGTACGTTGCGCGCGATATTGTGATAATTTTGTCCAATTACTGGGAATCAAATTAATTAACGTACATAAATTAGATCGCGCAAAAATTACATTAAATCCGTCTTAATAAAATAAACGAAGCCAACTCCGAGTGGCACACTCGGACTTACATATAACGCTCGACATTTTGACTCTGTGATTCGTTAATTGAAAGCGATAAATTGATCCTTTCATGTCGTTTTGTGACTATGCCTCTTTAACAGTCGACAAACGGAAGTCTCATGCTTTCTATTCCTTTAAGAAGACGCTGACCGCGTCTCAAAGTCGTGTTTCGTCGTCACGCGTATGTAATTTCGTTGTTAACACTATCTCGTTTTTTAATAAAGATATATATAAGTAACTCACACAAAACCAAAACCTCATTAGATGTCTATATCTTCGTGCGATAAACGACTAATAAACTAATAAACGACTAATGAGGTTTCTGTCGATTTTTGTGTGGCTAATAATTGCATATCTAAGACATTGATCATCAGTCATTTACAACCCATCGATCATTTACAACTTTTTACACGAAGTTTTTAAGACAGCGAATTCGAAATGACCTTTGATAAGCAGACTTTTGATAACTAAACTCAAAAAGGCTCGATACAAAAACTTATCTAATACTTTTTTAAAACTTCAAACCTGTCTAATATTTTTATTTATCTAATCTGTTTTAAAACTTATCTCTAATATTTTTGTTTTATGCCGCGAACTATTAAGATTAAACTATTAAATTGTTTTATCTGTGGAAATTTTGTTTTCTATTTAAAATAGTATTTCATTTGAACTTTATGTGTGGCAGCCCACGCATTATTTAAAAATAGTATTAAAAAATAGTATTAAAAAAAAAAAAAAAAAAAAAAAACTGGCTTTTTCTCTCTAAACGTACTAATATGTTTACGTTAACACACTGACATTTTGAAAGTGGCAAAACTTACGTAACAATTTGAATTGTTACCGATCGATTTTAAAAGTAAGCGCGAGAAGCAATTTTTCTATTCTNTTAAGATTAAACTATTAAATTGTTTTATCTGTGGAAATTTTGTTTTCTATTTAAAATAGTATTTCATTTGAACTTTATGTGTGGCAGCCCACGCAAGAAATAAAAAAAGTATTAAAAAATAGTATAAAAAAAAAAAAAAAAAAAAAAAACATTCCTTCTTTAAATTTTGCTCAGTTCTCTGGTAATCTAAGGACACTGACATTTTGAAAGTGGCAAAACTTACGTAACAATTTGAATTGTTACCGATCGATTTTAAAAGTAAGCGCGAGAAGCAATTTTTCTATTCTTGTGGTCGGACTCCAATTCCGAGCGTTAAACTACAATTTCCGTTTCTAGTGCATTATCACCCTGGTGCTTCTCGTCATAAAGGATGTCTACGTGCTGATAAATTATGTCAGCTTCGTTGAGGCTGTATTTACCACACTCTCCGTGACCGGTCTTCTGTGGCTGCGTTACAAAAAGCCTCTTCTTCATCGTCCCATAAAAGTATGTACATGACATTCTGCTACAATTTTCGAAAAAACTTATTTGAAACAATCTCTGCACAATATCTTTCGTTTAATCTATCTAATGATTGAAGCTTCACCTTTTACGTAAATTTTTCGGGTTTTCTTAGGTTCCTATAATTCTACCAGTTATTTTCTTCGTGATCTGCGCGTTTCTTGTTACCTTCCCGTGTTACGTGTCACCGTGGGAAGTGGGCGTAGGAATAGGCATAATTTTGTCTGGCATTCCTGTGTACTTCATCTTCATCGATTGGCAAGGGAAGCCCTCGTGGCTCGTTAATGGATCCCGTAAGTATGCAAAGCTTAAAAAACTCGTCATATTCCGTATCTTAAGTCTGCGTTTATGTAATCAATATATCAATAACATAACAAACATGTCATTTTGCAGATAATTTTAACATGATGTGCGCTAAACTGTTTATGTGTGTGAAAGAAGATAAAACCGAATAGGGTGCGCGAACATCGATGTTGTTATAAAAAAAAAAGTATACATTATTACCGAACTGTGAAATACTTTCATTAGATAGTCAACTTTACATTTCACTTTCGTGATTATAAAGTGTCAATTACGTCGAACATTGTCGTCTATTAAATGATCGCTTGATTACGTAAATATTAAACGACAATACGTTCGCAAACGATACAACACTGTCGCCAACGACCATTTTTATAGAAATATATATATATTGTATATGACGAATGAATTTTTATACGTATACATATATACATATATAGAGAGAGATATTAACTATTTATTGTCTTATCGCTTTGTGCCTTTGTTTGGCGCTTTATTGCTGTAGTCTTAACAAATTTGTATTTGAGTGCCTCGAATGATATTCAAACGATGCGTTTCTCTCACATAGAATTTCAAAGAAACAATATCCTGTTAATCTGAACAGATATATTATCATCGGATTATAATAACTAAAAAGTATAAAAATGATAATTGAATTAACAAATTTTACTAACAAATCATATTTAAAAATGTCAATTATAACGTTTTGTTTTTTATTTATCTTCACATATAATTATTTTGATCGTGTATATCCACAATAACATCCAAATCGAAGTTATATTATACTTTCGATCGCGGTAAAGTTGTACATATATAGCGGAGTATAATTTAAATGTTATACATTAGACGCGTAAATATAATCCGTATTAATATGTATGTATATATAAAAAAGACATATACAAAATCTGTAATTATTTAACATATTGACTGCCATGAAAACTTGCTTCATTGTTAATTAACTGTTATTTTTTAATCGCTTTTATTGTTGAATCAAATGAATTCTATTCAATCTTGATTTATCGCTATTTTCTGATAAATTTATATGCATTTTGAACAAAAAGATCTTTTCTCTCACGCAAGCTATTGTGGCAATATTTATAAAAAAACAGATTTATAAAAACAGACATTTTTTGTTACATAAAAATTATGCACAACAACTCCCGATTCTTAGCATCAGAAAATGTATCTGCGAGTAAGTCAGTAATCTACGAAATATTGACTTTATGTTAGTTGCAGCTTGCGTGGCAGTCAATTTGTTATATGAGGAAATCTTCTAAGTGTCTTAATTAAATATATAATTAGATATTTTTTTATTTTACACAAAATTTCTAGATATATATCTTCTTCGTATCACATTGCTCCTTAAAACTATTTAAATATTTTTCTTCTCGTTCTTTTAATTATTAATTTAAATATTTTTCTTTTTGGTGACAAAATTTCAATTTTTTAATTTAAATTAGATATATCGTTTTTGATACAGACTATATTGCACGTATAATATCTGATTGGCTGTGCGTCATAATGCTCAAGCACCGATGTAGAAAATTATTAGATTTGAATGAGAACTAATAAATATAATGTGCCTTGTATGCAAATACTTTCTGAAAACAGGTCAAACTATTGTAAAAAAAAAAAAAAAAAAAAAAAAAACAAAATACATAATTATCTCAAGCATTATTATAACAGAATGATCAATCGATTATATTAATCGGAGATTGTAAAAATTGGCCATTTTTCAGAAGAATTTTATACAGACATAATACGAAATTTGTAAATAGCAACTTTATTCACAATTCAAGTCAACAGATTTGACAAAATGGCGCTAAGAGTCATTTTTAATCATATAATGTAACGTGTAATTAATTGTACAAGCGGAAATAAGAAAGATAAAGCGCCTTTTCGTTATTCTGCATTCCTAAATGTAGCATGTGATTGTATTTGTAAAACAAAAAAAAACAAAAAAAAAAGAAAACATTCGTGTGTGTGAACTTTTGTAACTGTACAATAAATAGGCCAGAAGTACTATTAATATGCGTAAAAAAAAAACCAAGACTAAATCACAATTATTCACATGAATATGTACATATTTTATTTGTAATTGTCATTTCTCTCACCTGTACTTTGGGAAATCTTGTACTCGAATATTTGTAGACGACTTCTCGGTTACAATCAGCAATACCAATTATAAATTACGAGGCTTTTTTTCGGCTCAATCTCATAAAACCGAACGTTATTTCGATATTCTTCAACCATTTAATTGAAAAACTCTCGGTAATGTAAAACCTTCGTAACATTCGAATGATGATGAAGTGTTTAAACATCAATTTGTAATCTTTTGTGAACAGACATCAGAGATACCGATTGTATTTATTTGGCACGTACAAGTATAGACGTCCAATACGACTATATAAAACACGTTTGCGATTAATCAGTTAAAAAACATCGGAAAGTATATATATAATACGTTCAACAGTCAGGTCTAAAAAAAAATAGTCAATTATCATAAAAGCTTATAATGGAGACTTTCATTTCCGCTGAAAAAAATTCTTAATTTAGATATTTCTTTAAACTGTCAATGTAACTGACATTAAAGTTTGAGATGCAATAAAACAAAAAAAAAACAAAAAAATTCTTGCTTTTATTTTCGTTATTTATGTTTACATATTTCACCAGGTCTTTTGTTATGTATATAATACAATTTGATATATATTTGAGCAATCTCTTTTTTTGTCTCTTTAAATTTCTTTTTCATTTAATCTTCCAGGCCAATAAATTAAGATACTCTGTTATGAGCTTTCGATATCTAAAAAGTAAATCTTAAAAACTTTTATTGATTAATAATAGCCCGGAGATATGAATATATATTGAAAGAAAAATGTAACAGTTTATATACTTTTTTTTGTTCTTACTAACTAATTTAACATAGCAGAGACTTAAGAAAGTTTCGAGATTATATCTCTTTGGCATGATAGTATTTTTATACTTCAGTTTCTCACGGTAAAATGATAAATATTGCATCAAAATGTTTAAAATTCTCGAAAGTTTCTTTTTTTCCCTCCATACATATATTTATTACAAAAGATATTAAAACTATGTGAAAATAAAAAAAACCTTCACGACAGATTTGTTCACTCGACGAGTCCGATATCCTTTCTTTCTGGCTCCGTCATACTCGCGCATTCTTATTGCTTATATGCGACAACAAAATCACACTTCAGTTTCCTTGGTGAAATAAGGAAATTTTTGTCCGGAAAAGTAGAATTATAGTTTGTGCGCCTTTCATACAAAAAATATAGACTTTTTCCAACTCTGGATGATAAAATATTCTGTAATCAGCCTTTTTTGGGATACGGTCCCCAGCCAACTCTTTCATGTGTTTTCACCAGTTTCTTGAACGTTTCTTCGGCCACTTGCCGATTGTACTCCTTAGCCGGATCCGATTTTCTCGCTACTCGTGCCTGTTATTAAGATAAAAGTTTTTGTGTAAGCAAAATCGAAACTAGAGAAGTTCACAAGCAAAAGATAATAATAATAGCTAAACAATACTTACTAGTCCCTGTACAACGGTAGCCGCAAACTGCATAATTACTGACTCGACGCTGTACGCACAGCACCATCCTTTCGGCGTGAGAAGTTCCATACAGATAGCGCCGCCGCTCATTATGAAACCTAGCTCAATCCTCGGTGAGATTACTCTCATAAAGGGCGGTGCAAACGGAAACTCCTTCGGGAAGGTCATGTGTAGCAATATGTGAGGTATTTTTAATGCGCGCATGTCGGCTGCGAGTATACTGTCCGGATCAATCTTGTGCAGTCGGATCATCCACTCGAAAACGTTATCGTTGACAAGTTCCGCTGTGAAGGCTAACTCGCCTTTTTGTTGTGCCTTTTGTATCCTATTGAACTCTTTCATCAATCGACGCAATCCAACATCTTTGTCAAAAGTGGGCTTGCACTCCTTTTTGTCCTGCGTATGTAAGTCTGGCTTGAGATTTTCAGGCTATCCCAAAAATCCAAAGCCCGAGAATAATTAGAGAAGATTATGCCAGAATATGGAAGCTCTATTTTATTCGTACAAAGCGTGTCCGTGTGAAGAAATTATCGGAACACCGAAGAAGCATACGTCGCGATAGCATTTGCTCCTCTTCCAAGTTTATTCTTTGACAACCTTCTTTTTTCTCATCGAACCAAACGAAAATTCTACGTACCTTCATGGACTTCTTCTTGAAGAAACAAGTACGATCGACATGAAGAGAATCCGGATTCTCTAATATCGGAGCGTCCGCCGGGGAGACGGTATCCGAGTGGTGACAATTCAGGAATTTCCTTGACGGCGAGCTTGTCGAAGTGCTAGCTCCCTCCTGATCCGCGATCTTATCGGAAGATCGGAAAACCTTCCTGATAGCCGTCAGGACTTTTTCCTTCGACTTCGTAGACATAATAAAATCGGTCTGAGACGTTGAGTTTCACTATTCTGTGTTAAAAACATTTTACTACTTATGAGAGAGAAAACAACAAACACTCACTGAAAGAATGTTGATTTTTCTCAGAAGTTTTAGAACGAGCATTGAATTATCATAGTAAGATCTATCTATTCGCGATCTTACGTAGTTAATATACTCACTCATTTCAACGTGAGTCAGTTTTGTATCCTTCCTACTTCTTATAAACTGGTAAGAGTAGCGCACAGCTACGCACGCACTCCATAGATGCGTGGTGTCTACACGTAACAACTACGAAGAAATGTCCATCGGACATAGCGCAGTCTCCACCCTTGATAAACCACCAATCGCAAGCCGCAAAAAAGCGAAAGGGTTGTTGTTGTCGACGTCAGTGGCGATACTAGCGCTACTTGTCGGAAGTGGTCGATTCCTTTTTATCGATCCAATTTACATACGCCGATATCGCGACCGATAGCGTAAACACGTGTTAAGAACATAGAGATGTTGTTTTTTAAAACTGCTGTTGAAAATTTTAACAAAGATATTTGATATCACGACACTTCAAGATATTTTAGCAAATGATAACTTATCAAGAGCTTCTTTATAAAAAAAAAAGAGAATCGATTTTAATTTACCAAATAAAAAAAGAGAATACCTTTTATATATATAAGAGATATAAAAATATTTTTTAAAAGTTGCTTCGCGCAAAAAAGATGTGGACTTATGTGGGTGATGTTTGTTTATTTACCACCTATTTATTCATCCATGGCTTTACAATATACGTGCTGAGATATCTGTTGGTGAACAGAAACACCAGGACATGCTTGGCCACGTATGCGAACACCAGTAAACATGATAGATATTGAATCCACGCCCACTTCAATTCTTCCCATACACTCGGCTGATAGAAAATAAAGTTCTCTGCGTAAAACAATTCGCCAATAACGGCTACCGTTTCATCACTAGAAAAACCAGCACGCCACGTTACCCGCTCGTTTGTAATTCTAGCTGAAACTGTCGAGAAGAAATATATATTATCTTGTTTGAAACTATTCAACGAACTGTTCATATGAAATTGCATAGAAGTTCGAAAAAATCCGGGTTCTTTATTAAAACCGGTTCTAGACGTACGATGCTGGAAATAGGCCGGTAAAGATAATTGACCAATTACACCGAAAGGGAAAGAAAACGATGAGCAAAAACCAAATTGTTCAATTTTCTTTTTATTCGAAATATCGAACTGATTTCTGCATTGCGAACGTAAGATTTACACAAAACAAAAATTTACAGAAATTTTATCAAAAATCTCCGTTAGATATCGCGGACGGAAATGCGGACGTCTAATGGACATCAGAGTTTTTGTGCGGAAACTTTACAAACGACGCAATTCTAAGCGATGCAATTCTAAGAAACGGGTTTTCTCCTGAGTTTTTCCGAGCTCTATTTGTAAAAAAAAAAAAAAAATACAGATACTATATATACTCACATTTTCTGTTGAAAGTATACAGTAGCAAATCGGGTAGAGAATAATCGGCCAATTCTATGCTGTGGTTGTAGTTTTCGTAAAGACCTTCGCTACGCAAAAGTCCTTTTTGCCGCAGCTCCAAATCGCCGAAGAATCGTATCTCTTGAGCTTCTTGATTTAACACTTGATCAAACACACCGACAGACTCTATCGTTGCTTGTATGAGATGCTGTAAAACATACACAAATTCATTAGTCAAAAATTCACACATCTTACCAGAATAATAATTTACTATTAACGTTTACCTTTAACTGAAAATTGAAGAACAACAAGAGTCTGAGAGATTTCACCGGTTTATTCGTGTAAAAGTACGCTTCAAATTTCAACGAATCTTTTTGACCGTCGCGATTCAGATCGTTCTCCAGTACCTGAATTAAAACATTTGAAATATATATTTACGTACATTATTACGATCTTACTACACTCTCAAATAATTGCACTATCTCTCACAAAGATCGCGTTAAATAAATAGCGTCATTTACAATGCCATTGTTTTCATTTGTTAAATAGTAAGAGACAAAGACCTTGACTAGTGTGCAGTGATCTTCGATCGCATTTTCCTTGTACGTTTTAAAAGTAGAACACACGATTGGCTTCTCGTAGGGATCTACTTCGGCGAGCAACAAATATTTGTATTCAAAGTGCACGTCCGGCGTTTCAGCGTGCATTCGATTTTTCATCAAGAAACCTAAAAAAAAATTGTCAAACACATCTTAAATATTATCGCAAAGCACACACACACACACGGCTTTAGATAGATGTTTACGCAGAAGTCAAAATAAAGTATTACCTCCGGTATGGTAGATTATAAGGAGCGGCGTGAGCAGAGATAACACGATCAGTAAGAAAACAACAGTCGAGGCACATGAATATATTTTACTTTTATACTTATAAGTCACGGAGCTCGAAAATATCTCGATCGCTGCCATTACGACACATCACTGTCGTCGCCACGGCAACGTCCACAGGTGCGGAAAAACCTACAGACCACAGTACGGACGCGGGTGGACAGCTGGCTGGCGCAAAAAAAACATGAGGCTGCCGTTCTCATCGATATAAAGTTTCGCTCTTTTGTAATTACGCAGCTCGGAAAAAATTATTCTCCATAAAAATATATTTTACAATTGAATCTCTTTGCGATTCTATTATTATCGAGTTTTGTTTTTTTTTTTTAAATATCTCCATTGTATTACATAGCGCGAATCGTTGAAGTTATAAAAATTCTCTTCTTTCGTGCTTGTTTGAACAAATTTACAAGTCGGAATCCGCGTTCTTGCGCCGGTGTTTGACGGTGATTCGCCATCTCATTGCTGCATTCGATCTGGGATCGTCTTCTTTTGAATTCTCTATCGGTTCCGAGAGTTCGTTCTCGACTGATTTTTCGACATACGTCAACGATTTGTCGTTCGAGTCTCCGACGACGCTCATCGGTTTCGCGAGATCGAAGGAACCTCTTTGCACTCGGAAGGGCGACACTATGTACCTTCTGTTTCGCGCGGGAATCAAATTATCCCGAACCTTTCCGATGGATGCGCCTTGCAAATGGCTCGAGTTCTCTTCCGCTTGAGAAGAGAACTCGAGCCTCTTACCAGGTTTTTTACTCTCGAAATTGGAATTCGATACACGAGGAACGAATTTGTCCAAAGTACCATCTTGGGTGATCACAGATGATGCCGTCTTGGAAGAGACCGCGCTGAACGGTCTTACTCCAGAAATATTCGGTGCGAAACACAATCGCTTGCTTTCTGGAATATTCGTTGAATATTTCGGCGACATCTTGAATTCTTTTAAATTCACACGAACCTGCCGCTTTTTTCCAATCGAGACTCGGTCCTCGTCGGAAGGTTTATCCGCGAGATACGTCTCGCGTGCGACAACAATACTACTTCCACCGAACGTGGATGTGGACGCTGATGCGGAAGTGACGCTTGACGTCAGCGATGCCGCCGATGCGTCCGGTCCGCGCCGATTTCGTAAATCGTTCGGGATCGCGAACAGCGCGATCGGCACGCGCCTCACGACGAGCTTTTCGACGATGTAATCGTATTCGTCGGGATTGTACTCGGGAATCTCCTCGCGCGATTGTTCGCGCCCGAAGCAACAAATTAGAGCCTTCAAGCGCCTCGCTATCCTACCCGATTTGACATTACGATCTCTTTGTTCTTCTTCTTCTTCTTCTTCTTCTTCTTCTTCGTTTACGGTAGAATCCGTGGAATTTTCAGACATTTTTGTATCTATGCGTCGCGATAATAAACTAACTTCATTCGATATGTGATCGGAGGCAAACTTCACGATGGTTACGTTAGGTTATACATAAATTTTTGTAGCGCATTTGCTGTAATAAAAATGTTTCAATTAACATCCATATATTTAATTGTCTCTTTAAAACAGCAATTTGCGCGCAATTGATTCAGATGATTTTGAGATTGATTATTTATTATTATACTTACCGTAACTCTTGTCCAACACATTTCCTTCAGCTTCTTCTTTTCCCTCTTTCGCGCGCACATCGTGGTCACGTGACGACAACCGCGCGGAGGAGATTTGCGCGTAGCTTGCACTTGCGCGGTATACGCTAACCTTATTTTTGAATTTGTATACCCTGTATCAGCGTGTGCGGAAAGCCGAGAGTACTTAGTATCACTTAGTATGTTTAAACCAAGTTGAAACTTGATGCATATTAATTTTTTTTTTTAAGTAACAATATCTCTCAAAATATCTCACGATGTAGCCGTACAGCGAATGAAGGTAAAGAAAATGTAAAATGATCTTAACCTTTTGTGTTTTTTAGACGATCATTCATCGGTAGCATTTTGTATACAGGCATAGGGTTATATGCCGCAAACAGCATTCTTTTAAGCCTTGTGTCCGAGAAACGCAACATTTCAGTCATATTACGTACATGTCGCTTGTAAGCATCAAAATTGTTTTACATTAGATTTTCCTTATTGAATGTAGAATTTTGCCGAGATCCGAATAAGATGAGCGAATAAGAGAGCAATTTTGCAAAGATGTCTCAGGAATCGTGTAAAGATCGTCAGCAAAATGAATTGGAAGTTCTAAAGGTATAGCGGTTTACGCAAAATATTGCTCTGACATAAACATGTATCAAAAAATTTACCAAAATTTATATCCGCATGCACGTCTTTGTATTATATATTTTTTTCTGATGTAATATCTCATCTTTGTGATACACGTAGTCCATTTTTGTCGATGAATTATGTGACTTGAGAAAGAATAAGAACAAAAGAAAATGGCAACCTTTGGATATTGTTGTCACCTTAACACCTCAGAAAGGTATGTCTGGACCGGCGGAAGTTTACGCACAAGTAGATTTGCACATTATATGCGGCGACAAATATCCTGATGAGTAAGTTCTGCGTATATACTTTTTTTTATGTATATTTGTTTTCTCTATTAAATTTATGTTGTGGATATTATTAGTTTTGATTTAATTTATGTATTTTAGAGTACCAACAATTCAGTTGCAACATAGTAGAGGTTTATCTCACGAACAAGTTGCAGTTTTATCTTCACAACTTGAAGAATTGGCAGGACAATTGAAAGGTGAAGTTATGATCTTTGAACTAACCCAGCACGTTCAGAAATATCTTCATGAGCATAATAAACCGGGTTATAGTAGTTTTTATGAAGAAATGGTATCGAGACATCAGGAAAGGATACAATCTGAGATGCAAGAAAAGCAAATAAAAGAGGATAAAGAGAGACAGGTTTAAATTAATATTTCTGCGCAGTTTATTCATACGTATTGTTAAAAAAAACTTAACATTAATGGTGTTCGTGCGAATTAAAAAGCTTTATTATCAATATTTTATAAAGGTGTTGCAAGATGCCATACAGAAACGTCAGGAAGCTTTGAAGGCTGAGAAGCGAAATCGAAAAGAAACAATTCGATTGGCCACGGACTCAGAGAGCGTTTTCAGATCGATACCATCGTCTCCGCATGAGAGAGGAATAAATCGTTTTAGACGTCGATGTGTCAGCACGTCGGAAAGTTCTGAAGGCCCGTTATGTGAGCACAGAGGTACCAAGCTCATTCATTTCGACAGTAATAAAGGTGAACGACAAGTTCACCGAGGAAAATGTTTGGGTCACAGTGCAAAGGGTTCCGTGGTTTACGCCGGCGTAGATATGACCACGGGAGAGTTGCTAGCTGTTACAGAATGGACACTAAAATGCACAATAGCAAACGAATGCTACTCTACTCAAGAAGCCATCGATGTACAACATGCATTGAAACAAATTGCCAGCTTGGAACAAGAACTCAATCATTTATATAAATTGCATCATCCGAATCTTGTACATTATTTAAACATGAAATATATAAATAATGTACAAAATAACAACAATGTAGTAATTTATATACTTCAAGAATTTGTGGTATGATATAATCATTCTTTTTTTCTGTATAACATAGTTGCCTTTTTCGCAGAGTCTTAGGAATGGTGTTACATTCATAATTTTTTTTTGTTTTTGTTTTAATTGTAAAAGTAGGTTGGAACTACGTGCTCATTCTTTCTGATGGAAAACATTCCGGTCGATATCGATATGTTGAGACATTTGGCGACTGGTGTTCTCGAAGCGTTGCGATACCTCCACGAGAACAATGTAGTACACAAAGACTTACGTGATACCAGCGTTTATATAGACCGGACGGGTGTTGTAAGATTGTCTGATTACTCTTTAGATAAGAGATTATCGGATATGTATTATTCGAATTCATTGGCAAAGGCTGAACATGATTTTCCGACTATTCAAGGTAGAGGAGGTAAAAAAGCAGATATATACAGATATGGAATATTGCTGCTTTCATTGTTGAAAGGAACCATTATATCCGGAGATGAAATCGATTTGATGGCAATCTCGCAGGTGGAGTTTCTTACAACATAATAGTCTGATGAAAACTATAGTTTAGATGAACGCAACTTATGTTTATTTTTTCAGCTTCACTTAAGAGATTTTATATCAAAATGTCTCATTGATGATGAAAGAATGCGTTGGTCAGCGGATCAATTGCAACAACATTGTTTTATTAAAATACCATTAGAACGAGGTTTATCACCTTCCACGCCAGACTATGACGATAACGAAAAGAATTTAGAGCCGGAAGAATCAGACAGCGATGTCCAACTGCATTTGCCATATCTGGGCGGACAGTCGCGAATACAAAATGAATTTGAGATTTTGAAATTTTTAGGAAAGGGCGCTTTTGGAGACGTTCTAAAAGTGAAGAATAAATTGGACGGCGGTATTTATGCTATCAAGCGAATAAAATTAAATCCAAAAAATAAACAATTGAATAAGAAAATCACACGTGAGGTGAAATTGCTCTCTAGAATGAATCACGAGAATGTGGTGCGTTATTACAACTCGTGGATCGAAAGCGCCACTTTAGACGATTCGGACAGGAATAGTCAATTTACACCAATTACCACATCGTCCGAGCGAACAGCCACTACACAGGATAAAGCAGATTTAGTTAATGTAAATACAATATTTAATATAGGACGATATTGTCGCATACAAAAAGAAAATCTGTAAAGATATAACTTTTATAATTGAACTCTATGAGTTCACAGATATATAAAAAATTTTTCAAGTTTTATGATCACAAGATTTGTATGTGTGTATATTTTGTATATATATTTAAACTTTCTAAACATTTTTAGCAAATTGATGAAAGTGATGAAATAGAAAAGTTTGCACCATCTTTACGTGAAGTTGAATGGAATATATCGTATGAAGCAAATGTGACTGATAGTGATGATGATAACAGCGATGCATCGACTGATTCCGATAGCGAGGAACATTGCACATTTTTGTAGGCTACAGATTGTTTTTTTTTTTTCTTAATATCAAACGCTTTCGTACGTCGAAGATTTTATTTGAAGCTATTACCAATTATATTTTGTTTTTACAGAAATTTGTTACGAATTGAATCTTCCGATAATATTGAATTCATAAGAGACAGTATATCAAAACAAGGTTCTGAAAAAACACCAGATGACACTTCAAATAACAACATTGATAAAGACAAAAATGTTAACGAAAATGTAACGGTGAAAGAAATACAATTTATGTATATACAAATGGAATTCTGTGAGAAAAGCACATTAAGAACCGCCATCGATAACGGTTTATATGAAGATGAGGAACGTGTCTGGAGATTATTTCGAGAAATTGTAGAAGGTTTAGCGCATATCCATCAGCAAGGTATGATACATAGAGACTTAAAACCTGTGAACATTTTCTTGGACAGTAACGATCACGTGAAGATAGGAGATTTTGGTTTGGCCACAACCAATATATTGTCAACGTTGGTTCAAACGATTGATACTGATAAGGAGTCACAGTTTGAGAAAGGTGAGGAAAAACACAATAAGTGGATATTTTTCTTATTATATAACAAGAGTTAATTTGATACATATTTCGTGATTTATTAGGATGTAGTTTTGATGTGGAAGAATTAGGATCTCTTACCGGTCAAGTCGGTACCGCCTTGTACGTAGCTCCTGAACTTTCTGCAAAAACTGCCAAAGCGATTTATAATCAGAAAGTAGACATCTATAGCTTGGGAATCATCTTTTTCGAAATGACATACAAACCGTTAACCACAGGAATGGAGCGTGTAAAGATTTTATTGAATTTGCGCTCCAAAGAAATCGTCTTTCCTTCTGATATAGTAGAAACAGATATGCCACATCAAGTTCATATTTTACGGTAAAAACAATTAAATCTAATTGATATTGTACCACATTTATATAAATTACACAAAATAACGAAATTGAACACATCCGCACTTTTTTTTAGTTGGCTGCTGAACCACGATCCTAGTCAACGTCCTACTGCTCAAGAGTTACTTTCTTCCGCGTACTTGCCACCACCTCAATTGGAAGAAACAGAATTGCAAGAAATGGTACGCCACACATTATCCAACACTCAAAGCAAAGCATACAAATATTTAGTGGCATCGTGTTTCGCGCAAGATGTTACGCCCGCCGAGGATATTACTTATGACATGAATTTGCCCGCTAGAGGAATTCCAAATGTCCTTTCATTAAAAAAACAATTTTTACAAGAAAATGTAAAGCAAAAAATTGTTGAGATATTTCAAAAACACGGTGGGATATATCTTGCGACTCCGTTGTTAATGCCGAAATCCGTTCAGCATTCGAATTTCACGGAATCTAGCGTGAAATTAATGACACGCGCTGGTAGTGTTGTTTCTATACCTCACGATCTCCGCACTCCTTTTGCTCGATATATTATATGGAACAATATTTCACACATTCGAAGATACGCGATCGAACGTGTCTTCAGAGACAAAAAGGTATGTGTGTGTGTGTGTGAAGTCAAAATGATAAAATGTTATTTACAAAATATTTCAGACAGATGCATTTTTTTTTAAACACAAATCTAACTTTATATGATATCTCATATGTAATATAATCGCGCAAATGAATAAGTTTCTTTTTTATCGAATCAGGCTCGTGGATTTCATCCAAGGGAATTGTACGAATGCGCTTTTGACATCATTAATCCTATTGATAACAACCTAATGACAGAAGCTGAATTAATCTTCATTGTGTGGGAGATATTTAACGAATTACCACAAATTCGGGAATATAATTTCATAGTGCACGTGAATCACACATCGTTGTTGCAAGCTGTGCTGATGTATTGTGGTGTGGAGAAGGACAAATATCAGGACATATATTCGATACTGCAAGATGCACGTGACGGGAAGCTAACTAAATTTCAAGTTCAAACACACTTGATAAGTTTATGCCTTACGGATCAAGCTATGGAAACGCTTTTCAATTTACTAGAGACTGAAAGCACAGTTACGAAGATCACTAGTGTTTTGAGGACAATAACAAAAAGAAAGGGAGATGCTGCTGGTTTGGCCAAAGACGGTCTCAGAGATATAGAAACTGTAATATCTTATGTAGAAAGTTTGGGGGTTAAGGTAATATATTTGATATATTTACACATGTATATATATGTATTAATATTTCTGTATATAACTTATACAAAAATTTACATTTTCGTTACAGTGGCCTATTATTGTTGTACCTTTATTAACATATAATATACAACAATATAGCGGTGTGATATATCAAATAACTTGTGAATTAAAACACAGACGACGACGAGCAGGTCAAGATGTCATAGCCGCAGGTGGTCGATACGACAATATGCTGATGTCATTTAGAAAAGTTTTAGAACGCACCGGAATGGCGAGTAAGGAAACGAAGCAACACGGTGCTGGCATTAGCATATCGTTAGATAAATTGGTATCTGTCGTCTCCGAAGCGTGTGAAAATTCGTGGGGTGATAATAAATGCGGCATTGATGTTGCTGTATGTTACGAAGAAAATCCAGAAAGCGAAGAGAGAAAAGAAAAAGAAATGAAAAATAAAATAAATTTGTTGCGAGAAATATGGTCGTTGGGATTGAAAGTCATAACATTAGATCTGTATATAATGGAAGAGATACTAGAATATTGCAAAGAAAATTCTATAAGTCACATAATATTCTTAAGAAACGGCACTTCAAGAGTGTTAACATGGGAAAGAGACAGATATCAAGAAAAGAAATGGAACACTATACCGGATATTGTTGAATATTTACAACGACAGTCGGAAATCTCGTTGCCAATATTAAATAGATCTGAGAGCAAAGTGAGCACGAACGATATACCGATAGCGCCAAGTAATCCAGTTAGCGTTAATATTAATTTTATTCTATCCGAACGGGATAAACTGAATGGAAGTAATAGGAAAAGTTACAAAAATGCCATATTAGCGCAAATATCGTCTCACTTGCAAAGAATATCGCATAAAACACCTGTCGAGATATTTGCGGTATTTTTAGAAATGTCTGTTGTAAGAACAATAACCAGTTTTTTAGCAATCGACGAGGATGAACAAACATTTCAAGAAAGTATTCAAATCGTAATAGACAAGTAAGTAATCGAACTTGTACATATTCAATCAACATTGTGTAGGAATCTTTTATATACTTAATTATCATTCGAGACGTCATCGGATTTCTTGAATTATGGAATGATAATTTATGAAACTAAAGTTTGTGCATAGAAAATCTATTATATATGTGCTGATAATGATAAATTTTAACTGTCTATAAAGTTTTGAATTTTAAGTGTGTTTTTATGTGCAGGCATCCACGACATAAAAAGTATATCAAACAGATCTGCGAGGAAATGAAAGAATTGAGGAACGAAAAATCGAAACCCGTAGAGATACTTTATAGTCTGTTGGACGGCAAGTACAAGACTCTAATTTAAGGAACCACTGAGAAAACGCCGAAAAAATTTATATATTTTCATAATAAACATATGAAGTCAAATAGGTTGAATGATGTGAAGAATGTATGTTAATGGGAACTTGATATAAAATTAGATATTAAGCATTTTTTGTACCTACTGCATTTTGAAGTATTATATGTTTAATAAAAAAAAGAGATTTAAAACAAAAATAATTTTACATTTTCATTTACTTTGTATCAATATGCGTATCATAATTTAGGTACATTGGTAGATTATTTTACTTCAGACAGATATGTTTACATATATACACATATGTATGTTTATATTCAGGATCTCCCTTTTTATACGTTTTTTTTTACGCAAAAAAATAAAAATACATGTATATTTATTTAATGATAAAAAAAAGGAGAACAAAATAAAGTGTAAGAAAAAAACGAATATTTATTTCTTATTCTTTTATATATCTGCCATCATTTCTTTTAGTTCACAGTCATTTGTTTTAAATGTTTCGTAGATAGAATGTCAAAAATTTTGAGAAACAAAGCCAAATTGAACAATATTGTGCGTTCATACTAAGAGTTTGTATTTTTACTATAATTATATTATTAATAATTGTAGTTTCTCTTTGAAACAAACACTAGAAACAACATATTTTTGATATTATAGAATTTGCAAATTGATTAAATCTTTTCTTTCTCTTCAACGAGACAATATACATTGTTTCAATCAATTATCCACAGTGCAACTCTACACTCGCGATCAATACAACTTCTAAATATATACGTATATATAACGACGATCACGCACGATGCGCGAAGCTCGCGCGTTTAGACTGTAACTATTCTAACTTTAGAAACAGCCTGACCAAATAACACCCACCACATTTATTTTATACTCACTTTGATTCAAGAATTGGGTAGGATTTTACGAATTTCGACGCACATAGAATTTAATCAATTTTGTATGACAGTATGTTGCTTTAGCGCATTACATCAATCCGGAGTACTTTTTCGCACTAATACTAAGGAGAAAATCAAGAATGCACTTTGTACGATTGCTGTCAGGATATGATATGCCCACAGTGGGACTGGGAACATGGCAGGTGATGAAATAATTGTGTAGAAAATGTAGATACTATTCTATACATATATAAATTTATACTGATGATAATACAGTCTTTTTTTTTTCAAATATATGATTTGATTTGTCTTCAATACAAAATTTCTATATCTATCACTGTTGATTCTTATATGATGTATATATACAATTTTACAATCTTGTGACAACAAATAAAAACTATTGTTTCTCTCTAGGCTAAATCAGAAGAAATAGAAACTGTTGTAATCACTGCTTTAGAATGTGGTTACAGACATATAGATACAGCTGCAAATTATAACAATGAAGATGCAATTGGTAAAGCTTTAAAGAAATGGTTTGAGAAAGGTGGCAGCAGAGAAGAACTTTTTATCACAACAAAAGTATATACATTGTAAAAGTAAAATTTTTACACATACAGTAACTAATTATCGTTTATTATTAAGTAATTGTGATTGTTTGCTAGTAATCATCTTAAGCAAGTGCATTTAGAAAACTGTTACTGTAATGTTTTTAGCTACCTCACTTTGGTAATCGACCATCCGATGTGGAAAAATTCATTAAGTTATCATTGGATAAACTTGGATTGGATTATTTAGATATGTATCTTGTTCATATGCCTTTTGCATTTAAGTTAGATGAAGCAACATGTGCTGCAGCTACTCACGAAGATGGAAGTTACATACTCGATTTTGATACAGATCCTGTCTTAGTATGGAAGGTGTGGAATTAATTTTATATTCCTATATAATGTACAATGAAGGATTTTCTGAAGAATCAAGATTATTTTACAGGAAATGGAGAATCAAGTTAAATCAGGACGTACCAGGTCTATAGGTTTAAGCAACTTCAATGAAGAACAGATTTCACTTATTTGGGAAAATGCACAAATTAAACCGAGTAATCTGCAGGTAATTTGTAGACGATCAGAAGCATCTAATGTAATTTACTTCATTATTAAATTTGTTTTATCACTAGTAAATATAAAGCATGTTTTGTGTTGCACTTAAAGGTCGAGTTACATGCATACATGCAGCAGAAGTCAATTCGAGAATTATGTAAAAAGTACAATATTGTTATAACTGGTTATAGCCCATTGGGATCTCCAGGTGCAAAAGTGCATTTCCAAACAAAATATAATTACACCACAGAAGCATTTCCTGATTTACTAAACCATTCGGTAGTACAAAATATTGCCGAGAGGCATAAAAAGAGTACGGCACAAGTTTTATTGCGTCATCTGTTACAATTGGGAATTGTAATTATTCCCAAGAGTGCTTCTCCGGAAAGAATTAAATCAAATATCGATATATTTGATTTTACCTTGACAGATGATGATATGAATCTCTTGAACGACTTAGATAAAGGCGCTGCTGGACGAATCTTTAATTTCTTATTTTTTAAAGGGTGAGTTAAAGAGAGTGTCGTTTTTATTTTGGATACTACAGTGTAATGTAGTTTATTAGTAATTCTGGGAAATTGCACTGACAATAGAACTGGCTTCTTCGTTTCCGCGCAGCCGAGCTGCGTGAGAACGCTAATATTTAATAAAATAAAAAATATATTTTATACAAAGTTATACAAGTAAATGATATTCTATGAAATTAAGTTTTACCACCGATTTTTAATGCTATGTTACTCTATAAGATATCATAATTTTTTATATATAATAATATCGCATAAAATAAAATTATGTTTCAGGGTCCAAGATCATCCACATTATCCATTTAAAAGTGAACTTGCATAATGTTTTAAATTATAAAATATGCGTTATTAGTTTAAAATAAAAAAAAAGAACAAATAGATGAAAGAATATATATCATACAAATTAAGCACAATACGTTATTATGTAATTGTATATTGAAGATATGTTTTTCAATGCAATCTGTACAACATTTTACGTTGCAAACGATGTTGCAATTCACCGCGACGTATCATTGTATGTATGACTTTATAAATAGCACGTTCTGGAAATGATTGTTTAAGAAAATCTTTTACTATATTTTGTTCAGATACTTGATGTCCAATAGGAAATCTGTTTTTCAATTGCTTTTCAATGCGCGACAATATTTCATGATCCTCTTCCGAGGTAAATCCTTCCGCTCCTGATGGTATAAATATGTAATATACACGTCATGTAATATACGCATGTATCGAAAGCATAATTTTTTTATGTTTATCACTTTGTAGAACTTACCTGCTAATGATCCAGACATTGCAGCTTCTAACGTAGATACTTGGAAAAGCCTTAAAGCCTCGTTAACATGGACTTCAGTAGCGAAAGGTTGCATTTGCATCTTAGCAAGAGCTTCGGATATTCGCACAATAGCTTCGAGTTGCCGAACTGTTATAGGTATAGACAATCTTTTCTCGGAATCTTTTTCGTGTTCTTTTGTACCAGCTCGCATCATTACGTAGCGATTTTTTAATTTTTCTGCCGCTTCCACACTAAGTCTCGGACCACAACGCCTTGATAAAAAAAAAATAGAAAAAGTACATGAAAATTTAAAATATTTTATTTTTCGGAATTTGCATTGTGCACACGATAAATATTATGTAGCGATATCTTACGTTCTGCAATAATTAATATACTTCTTGAGAATGTGCACAGGAATCTCTCCTTCTACCGATTGTTCTGTGATTTGGCCAGCGTTACAATGAATATTTATAACATGTTTAGCTAGAGTTATATCTTTGTTATGTTCGTGTTCGTCCTTAACGATAAATATCATGTCGAAACGTGACAATATTGTCGGCATAAAATCGATATTTTCTTCCCCTTTTATATCATCCCAACGACCGAAGACTGAATTTGCCGCAGCCAACACAGAACATCGCGTATTCAGAGTTGTTGTTATGCCTGCCTTTGCTATTGATATTGTTTGCTGCTCCATAGCTTCGTGTATCGCAACTCTATCATCTTCCTTCATTTTGTCAAACTCGTCTATACAAACAACACCACCGTCCGCCAGAACCATCGCGCCACCTTCCATGACAAAATTCCTCTGAAGACAATTTACATTTGTGATTATTGTGAAACGTCACAAATATTTTTTTCAACAAAAATACACAACTTACAGATACCGGATCTCTCGACACAGACGCTGTTAAACCAGCTGCCGAACTACCTTTTCCCGATGTATAAACAGCTATGGGTGCAACTCTTTCAACAAATTTCAATAGTTGCGATTTCGCAGTACCCGGATCGCCCAACATTAAAATATTAATATCACCTCGTCTGCTTAGACCATCAGGCAACAGTTTTCTGGATCCACCAAATAATAAGCAAGCAATAGCTTTCTTGATGTCTACTGCACCAAAAATACTCGGAGCTATGCTCTTCGCAATTCTCTCATATATATTAGGATCCGCTGCTAAACGCGCGAAATAATCTTCTTCTTCCGATGTAACTGGTGGCTGAGTTCCTGCGAAACCCCATTTAAAAAAATAAACAATCTATCGTTCGATTCATCAATGTTTTGATTTTTTTAAATATTATTACACTAATACCAATGTTTGTATTTTCTCCATCCACAGTGATACCAAGTACTCGGACATATGGTGTTCGAACACCTACTAATGCTTTGTCTCTGCCTGCACTCTTGCTGTTTGCTTTAGATACTTTTTTAATGGAATATATTCCAAGAATGAGAACTCTATTGCCTGGCACAACTCTATCACATAGATACCGATCGCAATATATTTGCAAGTGTCTGGGCATTTCACCCTGTGGTATATGATCTGGCAATTCTTGTAGCTTTAACACTTGGAAATCCACACAGTGACATTTATCTGGCATTATAAAGAAAGGATCTAGAGGACATTTTGGTCGACCTGCTTGTTCCCTGCAATTCCCAGGTAATAAGCAACTCTTTGCTCAAATGGCGCATTAAATTAATGTAAGAAATTAATAAGAAAAATGACAAAATTGGAGAAAGATAACTTACGTATTACATCTTCTAGGTAATGCATATCCCTCCAGACCTGGTTTGATAGAAATATTAACTTGCGTAACTTTGCAAGAACGACACTGTATAGCAATTTTTGTAGCCTTAGCGCTAACGCCAGATGCAGAAACAATTATACCAGGTATCTTAACAAGCTTAGAAACAATATCTGGCTACAAAAGTAAAAAAGATTAATATGGATCTTTATATATCTAATTAAATGCTTTTGTATTTTATATAATTAAACAGTAATTGTTGTTTGTTTGAAAAATCTAAAATTTTATTACAACTTTGCAAATTATATTTCACCTTCATTCCTCTTAAGAGAGTTGGATGAGCATCCGAACATAAGAGCACTTGAATATCTTCTATTTTTTCTTCACCTTCGGGTCGAGGTGCTGTGAGCTCGTCGGCTACATCTTTTGCAGCTTCTTCCAGAACGGGTAGATACTCCGTCGGAAGCTTGTGTATCTTTTCAGCGAGAGATTCGTCAAACGCAGCTAAATCTTCCAAATTAATTTCTAACCAGTATTGTCCAAGATTATAATTGCGTTTCAATGTATCTCTGATCAGAATAGATACAATACGTTACATTAACAAGTAATAAAAATAACTACAAAATTTAAACGCATACAAAAGAGAAAAAATGAAAAGTTTGTGTTAATTACCGATATTTGTAATTAAAGTTACCCTCGTGAAACTGACGAATAAATTCTTTGAACTTCCTCTTTGAGTGCTGAAGATTCACGCGAGTTTCTCGATTCTCATCGAGCGCAATGTTATCGGAGAAAAACACTCCAGGATCGTCAAAACCTTCCATGTTATTCAGATATTTAATTACAACAAATCGCTAAAAGAATTGAAAAGATTTAAATAAAAATACAAATCTCATCTAAATCAACAAGTACGTCGCGTCACGTTACTCAAGAAAACTGTTTTGGCGGGAATCTTCAAGGTGCATTTAAGGCTGATTCGCATAAATAGTTATGGCAGAGAGAAGACTGAAAGCGGCCATATGAAAAACTAACGACTTCTCCAATCAAATATGGAGCAGCGCTCCTGTCACCTGTCAATCTCCTACCAGCGACGACCATAGACGTATAATATATAGACTGCGCGTTTGGCTGAAAAGATGTCTTCAACGTTGAGAGAGACAACATACTTTGAATAGTAACTCTTTCTCTGTCTATCATTTACCTCACTACTTTGCTAGACAAAGATGAGGCTACTATTCAACACCAGCTGTCTCTCTCTCAACGTTGAAGACATTTTCTTAACATGGCAAAGGTAGGGAACGCGCAGTCTATTTATATTATACGTCTATGGCGACGACTGAAAAGCACTAAATATATTTTGGCTGTGTTCCAAAATTCACTGCCAGTGCTAAAGATCTATAGTTTACGTCACATATATTATACAATTTTAGTACTGGCAGCGTGCTGGCAGCAATTCTGGAACACAGCTTTTAATGCCCACTTTGCATGTTTTTTAAATCCCAAAAAACAAAAGGTAGTCTCATTACTGATACATATCATTAACGCCGGTTTTCATCATCTCCGATTAAATTAATCGACCGATTATTCCATTGGAATTGCCAGTCGCATTCATCGTTTAGCAGAACGGACCAATCACGACTGATACTTAATCGTCGATTAAATTAATCGGAGATGATGAAAACGGGCGTAATTAATATGACTCCAGATACACACACCCGGGGTCAACTCCTCTGATCCTAGGATGGCGTATGGACCAACCTGAAGCGGTCCACTGAGTCACTTCGCACCAATACCAAAATCGGAACGACGAAACGTAATCTGTTTGGAACTGACGCTCAACGTCAACGAGACGTGAGCGCGTAACAAACCAAAGCGAACAAGGATTGTCACCTATTGTTATGACTGTCACGCGTCATCTGGAGTTTATTATCTCTGTGCAAAATTGTACAAAATGCAAATACAGTGTTGTGATAATACAAAGAAACCAGTGATACACATCCATGAAATGTTATCACACGCTTTTGTGATATTGAAATCGTTTTGTCATTTCGTTCATTTCGTATTCTAACTTGCATGTATAAGGAAATTTCAGAAAAAGAAACGCTGCAGAGATATATTTTTTCTTTTGGATTTATATCTGTGTATCTTGAGCTCCTTATACACAGAGGTATAGGTTTGCTAATTGACACATCTTACCTCTGGCTGCAGAAATAAAAACGTAAAAATCATCTTTTGTTACAAATAGATAAATCGTACATAAATATATATACAGTCTCTATCTTGTACACATTGGTATAGACGAGAACAAATGGAGTCAAAGGAAGAAAATAGACTTTCAAATGGTGACGTTAGAGTACACACAAATGTCAACTGGACCAAGTATGGTTTGCATGACCCAGAAGCACAAGAAAGTGCAAAAAGAGATAATGAGGGTAACAACAATGCGCTTGATCCTGAAATGTACCCAGCTGGTGCAAATGAGCTATTTGCGCAAGAATATGTAAGCATTTTAAAGTATTCTATTATTTTTATTGACTAATGAAATATTAAAATCTGACTAATGAATATTAAAATCTTGATATCTTCTTCAGAGTGCAGATCCCTGGTGGAAATCAAATTTTTTTATTTCTCAACCTGTATTATTTGGTACCTGGGATGGAGTGTTCACATCTTGTCTTATTAACATATTTGGAGTAATTGTATTTTTGAGATCTGGATGGATTGTTGGGCAGGCAGGTGTTTTGAATGCTGTATTAATTATATTATGTACAGGTAATATATATGTTTTTATATGTGCAAAACTATTGATAAACGATTTATAAAATTGATATTATTGTAATACACTTATTATCGCAATAATATATGTGTATAATTTTTCAGTATGCATCGCATTAGTGGCGGTATTATCAGCTGTAGGTATATGTGAGCGATGTAGAGTTGAAAGTGGAGGAGTTTACTTTCTGTTGTCACATGTATTGGGTTCCAGATTTGGTGGCTCCATCGGACTGCTTTATTGCTTTGGACAGGTAGAGATAGATAAATTTATTCTTTTGTTTTATCAGTATTCCGAGAACCGGTTTGTGGATTTTATTTCAGGCGGTGGGTTGTGCTCTAAACGTTTTAGGTTTTGGCGAATCAATGGCCGGTCTTGTAGGTTTAGAATCAGCATGGGCACAGCGCGGATTTGCATGCGCAGCAGTTGTGTTATTATCCATAATTAATGTTGCCGGTGTTAAGTGGGTTGTAAAGTTGCAATTTGTTCTTCTCCTTGTTATACTTCTTGCTGGAGTCGATTTCATGGTTGGAAGTTTTATTCATACCGATATTGGTAAGATAATATACGTACTCTCGTGAGTTCTTCACATAAAAAAATGATAGCGTTAAATATTTTCAAAACTTTTTGTATTACAAGCAGCAATGTTATTTCATTAAAACATTTATGCGATTTTAGCGGCTGGTTTTGAAGGCTGGTTATCTGGAAATTTGAGAAACAACACCTTTCCCGATTATCAGGACGGATACAGTTGGTTTACCGTGTTCGGTGTGTTCTTTCCGACAGTCACCGGTGTCTTGGCTGGAATTAACATGAGCGGTGATTTGAGACATCCATCCAGTGATATTCCCAATGGTACTCTAGCGGCATTGGGAACTGGGTATAAGAGAAGTTCTTTTTAACATAAATTACTTTGGAGACATTTCATCTCTTTACATTACAATCGCATTGTTTGCAGAACATTTCTGTATCTGTGCTTTTCTCTGACTCTTGCGGCAACTTGTGTCAGAAACGCATTACTCAACAACTTTACCATAGCGTCGACAGTATCGGCAATCTCGGTTTTGCTACTCGCTGGTCTTTACGTATCATCCTTCAGCAGTTGTTTGGGCGCTATGTACGGCACGCCTCGCGTTCTTCAATCTATCGCCAGTCAAAATGTTATACCGGGAATGAGTTGTTTGCAAAGAGGGGTAATTATTTCTTATATATATATAGATTATTTTTTTTCATACTTCTTGACATACACTTGAGTAAAACTGTAAGCGCGATACTAAGCGATGTGATAAATGAATACGCTACTTCCAGAGAGGACCGAATAAGGTACCTATATACGCTATGTTAGTTGTCGCTGTGGTGACGTTGACTTTTATTATAACCGGTCAAATTAATACGCTCGCACCAATCGTAACAATGCCTTTTCTCTTGACGTACGCCTGCTTGGATTACGCATATTTTGCTCTCGCCCAAACGTTCGATATTCGGCATACGCGCGAACAGAGATTTCGCACACAGTCACCGACATTCGATCGTAATTACGGTTCTGCAAGTAGAAACAGTTCAATAACCGACACGGATAATGATTTGGATAACTTGTTTCCCGAGAGAATAAGGCACAAAAATCTTGTGGTGAGATATCATTGATATTTATACATATAGTATCTCGTTTGAGGAATAGGAAAATTCAAAGAATATAATCAAACTAATACGTGTTTGTAGAGAAACAATAGCATCTCGGATAATAACATTTACGTGGATTCGTCGCCGAGCATCGAGGATAACGTCAGTATAACAAGTACGTCAGAACGAAAAGTTTACATACACAATAAATTGGGAAATTGGTACAGTCCTTTGTGCAACAGATGGCTTTCATTGTTGGGTGTAAGTATTTGTGTCGAGACTATAGAACTTTTTTAATTGCCAGGAAATATATATACCATTACATCTTTCACATTAAGAGAAACAATTATATTTAAGTTTGCGTATGTTTATATATGTTTTTGTATTGCAGTGTCTAGTAAAATTGCTTATAATGTTTCTCGTACATTGGGGATACGCTCTTGCCAATATCGTTGTCGTGTTTCTCGTTTGGAGTTACGTTGGTCACGCCAATCCTGCTGTTAAACCTGGAGTTTCGGCAGAATTTCGATTTTTCAAATGGCTTCGGATTGCAACGCTTCGACTCATGGGGTAAAATTTATTAGTTTAGTTTGAGTAGCAATTTTTTTAGATTAATAAACTTCAGAATCGTAAAAATTACTTAAAAAAAAACTGATTAAAAAATTCTCTTTTTTTTTTTAGTTGAATTCATTACGTGTATGTATATATATTATATATAAAGTTATAATTATATATAAATATACCTAAAAGACATGAAAAATATTAATATAATAAAAAGAAATAAAGAAAAAACATATATATATATTGTTACACTTGCGAAGACGAGACAGCACTACCGCCGGTTGTCGGGAATCGCGCGGCAGAGAAGAAACGCAACCTTTCTCAAAAACACTTTATTACAACTAGAATACAAATTATTACAACGAGAATTATAAAACGAGCCGTCGAGACGCGACGTGTCAGTGTTCCGTGCCTCGATCTTTTCCAAAACAACGTCGATCGCCCGACAACAAACAGTCGCGCCGTTCACGCGGCTCCCGCGACACACACGCGGTGTCCGCCGCGTAACACTCGTAACAATATATATATATGTATATATGTATATCAATTGTCACGATTAGATTTCTTTTTGGAAGATACTTTAAGATTTATACATTGTATTGCAGGAAAAAAGTTCATGATTACGAACAGATTGTAGTGACTCCAATACCTCCGGGTGTTGAAACGTGCTCGGCTCAACTGAACGAGGAAAATGAAGATTTTTCGGGAAGAAGAAGATATCATCAAACCGCCACAGTTACAGGTCAATATGTTAACGTCGATTAGGTATATATAGATCTACTCGAAATTTATAAATTTCGTGTTAGAAAGATCATGTACACTTTTCATAAAAAAAAAATTCTTTAAATGCATTCTCTAGCGAGAGTAAATTACGCGAACATACTAATGTGTGCTTAGAATTTAACATGATGTTTTTTAACGATATGTGATAAGAGAAGCAGCTTTTTATCGGCAGTAATTTTTATCGGCAACTATTTTCGGCTTCGGTTTTTAACAATGTCAATCGCGCAAATAGCTGATCCACAATAAAACTTATTTAATTCGCATTTGCAGAATATAACAGTAGATCAAATATGAAATTGATTGAATGAAACGTACAAAGAACTGATGTAACGTTAGTGCTAGACTTTTATAAAACATTTTACTTGTGATTGCCATCCAGCTGAAATTACTATCAATATTCATTGTGTTTTTTCTTTCGATAGTCATTCAAACAGTTGATATAAAAATCTAGATAGAATAAATTCTCTAAAACTTTTTTAATCGGAGAGAGTATACTTGGAAATAATTTATCAATGATAATTAATCACAGAATCATAAGGTAATCATGTGATAATGGCAATCACACACTAGTTCGTAAGAGAATATTCTGTAAATATATCTAATACATATATTTATATAATATTTATATAATAATTTTATATATATATATATACACTTCGAACAAATGTGCACGAACAAATTTGTAATTGCAGAAAAGAATATACATATATGTGTGAAATGTCTCTCTTTTTGATGTATTTAATTATAAGATTTAACTTTATTTATTTTTATATGAAATTGTTTGCATCTGTGTTGAACAACAAAAAGTTCTCTCTTTTTTCATTAGTTTATTTATGATAAAAGTGAAATGTCATCTTAATATACAATAATTGATGTGTAATATACAAATTTTGGTTGCTTTTATTTGTTACTCGATAACATAGATCCCTTTAAATAATATTAAAACTGAACAATTAATATCTTATAAAAGGTGCAGCATAACAGTAAGTAATATTATAAAAGATGATATCTGATGCTTTCGCGACGTGTTGGAAACATTTTTGTGCATAGCTTCCAATTTGAAACCATATACACAATTTCATAATTTTACCAAGATTAGAATCACACAAGATGAATCGAATAACTTACTCTTCTCAGCAGTATATACAATTACCAAATATTGTAAACCCCGCTTGAAAAATATTTAATTAAAAAAATTAAAATATTTTTTTTTTTATCGTAATATATTATTATGAAAAAAATTAACAGTATGTTGTTATAATATTTTATTACATTGCAGATTTTATACATGTATATATATATATACATATGTGTGTGTGTGTGTGTGTATATATATATTTATATATAAAATCCTTATAGATTATACAACTAAAAAAGAGAAGAACTGATATAGAACTTATAGAAATTAACATATATATTTTTCTCTCTTTTTTCTTAAAAATATACCACAAGAAATATATATCTATCTTTGCCGTACCTTATCCTACCGATGAGACTATTAATTCAGCAACATCTGGATCTTGACAAAGTACAGATAATTGCATTGTGACTTGTGTCCCGCTCAGCGCCAATCTTGCTCGTGCCAGTACTTCTTTCCCACCACGGAAAACACCACTTAGAAGAAGATTGTGTGCAGCCGTACCACTTTGCACCTTATTACTGCGTTCCATAGCCTCCAAGCCCAAAAATCCTGTAAGACTTTGAATTGCTCCTTCCAAAGACGTCACGGTAGCTCCCAAAGCAAATGTTTCTTCTAGTTTAACAAATCCTTTTGCGGCATATGTATCCCAAGCGGTATTGAAGTCTATACCTCTGTTACTAACACCACGCACTTGATCGGCCAGAGTCACTTCCAAATCTTCCAACTAGAAATTTACAATCGAGTCGAATTTGCATGTGCATGTACATATTAAACATAATATATAAATAGTTAGTAAAATATTATAATGCAAATATGCTTATGTGTGTGATATACTGTAAATAAAAATATTTTTATCACAATAAATGTATATTTCTTTCTCGCACAATACGTATTTTTATTTTATTATTAGATTTGTGCATTAAAATGTGTGTGTGTATGTGTGTGAGGATGCACTATTTTTATTATAATATTAAAACGAACTTTTAACGTTCTTACCATGTACTCATCGCGATATCCTTGATCCGCATCTGGTATTCCCGTCGTTGGATCGCAATCTCTCGCCATAAATCGGAGAGTTGTAGGAATAGTGGCAACACTTGCATGTACATCTTCCGGATATTTTAATACTGTGTACGTGGTTCCCGGTTCGTTGTAAGGTAGTCGTGAACATGGGACCACACATACGACGGAATAACTAAAATAAATATTTTGTTATATATCATTTCTTAAACAAAAAATTATTCATAATCATTACAATAACTATGTCTTATTGTATGATCAATTTTTAAAGTTTTGTATAATGTAATGTATATGTAATATATAATATATTTACCCTTCGGTAGGTTCAACAACTACAACCACATCTTCGAGAAGTTGATCGGAAAGAGTATTCACGCAATCGAATTGTAAAATTAGATACTCCGGAAATGTGTGCTTTATACATTTGACATTGTATTCTGTCTCGGATTCCGTCAGTTCGAATACAGACGAAGATTTGAGAAGCGTTGTATCACCAATAATTGCTGCCAATTGCGGAATTTGCACTAATTTCTCCATGAAACTTTCCTCTTTGGTCAAACGAGGCTGCTTGACAGTGGTATGCACTTCTACCTGGGCTGGTTCTTCTATTGTCTGAGCTGGAGGTATCTATAAATAACAATATACAATTTGACAATAATTCGTGTTTTATAAATATAAATAAATATAAATATAAATATAAATATTATTTTAGATTAATACTTTTAAAACAAACATCTCAAAAACTAATAGAAAAAATAAAAAATAAGAGCTACCTGAGAAATGTCAAATGCTTCTTCCATTGATGTTTGCATGTAATTCCGTAAAGCTCTTTCTACACTTGGTACCGATAATAAAGGTGGTTGTACCAAGGGTAGTATAGTTGGATCGTTCTGTTGTTGCAATATCGTACAGTAATAAGCCGCACGATCGCGGACTTCATCGTCCGAGTCTAACTGGCAACGCGACAGCAATACCAACACGTTCGGAAGTAAAGGCGGGCAAGCAGCAGCGAAACGCGCTAAAGCGGTTACGGCTGCGGCGCGCACGTTGGCGCTTTCGAGAATAACGCGATTATAAATAAAACGAATGTATCTTGACGGTAGTTTGGATGTAGGACCTTCCTGACCGAGCAGATGCAAAATGCGCACAGCAAGGGAAATGTGCTCACAATCCTCGATAAATTCGCATAGATGCGCAAGTCCCGCTTCTTTGGCTTCCGCGTTTCCTTCCATTACAGCTATAATAGTATCAGCAATCGCTGCCTTATATTCAAGTCCACCTTCATCCCTCAACATGGCAGAGAGGAAATTCATTAAGACTGCGTGTTTGCGAGGAAATTTTTGACACAATGCCCTGAAAAAAAAAAAAAAACCAAGATTTAAATAACATATAAGAATTATACTAACAAGTTGTTGTATAAAAGCTTGTAAAATAAAATTTACCTAATGGCCTGTACCACTACTACTTTAAACTCATCCGAAATTTCGGACATGAAAGTAGCGATCTGCTTCATCAAACGATCTACGGAACTTTCAACTCCAGTTTTTAACAGAGTAGTGATGGCTAAAGTAGCGATTGATCTATTCGAATCTGTAATCAAATTTTCCAAATCCAAATTGCATACTGTAACCGCCGCTGGATGAGTCATCGCGACCTTGTTTAGAGTTCTGACAGCAGCGAATCGGAGTGCCGGTTTTGGTGAGCCACAGAAAAGTTGCAGAACACTAATTGCCGGTCCAATTTCTCTGGCGCCTGTTCGTCCAAGATTGACCAATGCATGGGCTGCCTCGTATACTACCATTTCGGATTTATGACGAAGACATGACTCGATAAATCCTATTAATTCTTCGTCTTCGTCTACCTCGTCCAATAATTTGTATGCCATTCTAATTAACATGCACGCCGCATAAGGACTCTTAGGACTTGTTTTCATAAGTTTAGCAACCAATTTGATCACTGCATGCTTGTCTGCTTTACGTGCTTGATATAAAACACCCAGAGCATGATACTGAACCATCACGTTATTAGAATTTAAGGCTTCTTGGGCTTCATTTGCCCATCTCCTTGCGACATCACTGGACACTCTTGTTAAGTGCAAAGACGAAACTAGAGCAGCACTGGACACAGCTGCCGATCGATCAACTATGGCTTGTTTCATGTACCGTTCAATGGCAGCTAGCATACTGCCATCGGTAATAGTACACAATGCCCGAATGGCAGCAGCTCTGTATAAATCCTCTTTTCCTGTCATATCTTTTGTTAAACTAGAGGTGACTATAATTACATCTTCAGCTAAAGAACTCAATTCTTTGATGCCCAGATAAACCAGTCGTCTCAATATAACATCGCGCGACTGAAACAGCTTGGTCATGGCAAAGAATGCATCTGTGGCTTCTGTTGTACCAAACTGTTCGCCTTGATTGAGCAGATATAAAATCTTGGTAAGAATATGAGCACATTTTCGTGGATTTACCGGAGTATTGTTGAATGTGCGCGCTTCTTGAAGAACAGTAGTTTTCTCCAAGTTTTGAAAAGGATTGCCACCACCTGATGAGAGAAAGAAATCAGATCAGTGTCCAAAGTGTACTAAACATCAAATCAAAATAGTTAAAAATACATTTCAAGAAAAAAAGATATTGTTATAAAATTGAAGACATTTCCTCAAATTTGATTTTCTTGTGTTGACACATGTGTAAACACACTTATGTCTTACAACTGTCACATAAAAATGCCCCATGTATAATATAACCTATACTCTATTTTATCTATGATCAACTAATGTCTACACGCGAAATAATATGATTAATTAATTACCATCTTCCTCTTCTTTCTTGTCTCGTTTAAACGCAATCATTTTCTTCGGAATAAAGCGCCGAAGAACAGAAAGACTTTCCGACACGTCACTTGACGTTCCACCTGGTTCCACCTGTGTGTTCTCCCTTTTTGAAACAGTTTAGCCAACTTCAATCAACCTAGGGCTGTGTAGTTTTACTATTTCCGATTAGTTTATTTCAATCAATTACTCCATTGAAATTGACTCCCATTTTAGATCGATTAGACAAATTGACCAATGACAAAGTTAACGTCGATTTTTAATTGGCCTATTGAACCAGTCTTGCAACAGTCGAACTGACGAAACTAGTCCCTAGAAATTCGCGACGTTCGCGATTACAGATCGAATAGTTCGAACGTATTGGTCAGTTCGTTAAATCGACCAATGCGATCAGACGTTGTAGACTCGGCTTACGATCGTGATTGTTACGAGATTGCCAAGTGGAATTCTCTACCAATAGTAAAATAATCTTCCTTTCTCTGCTCGAAGCCGGATCTCTGGAGACAATCGCGTTCCGTGATTAAAGCAGTCACCGCAGAAAATCCAATATGGTGTTTGTCTCTCAACGGCTTGTGTTGGATGTCCGTGTATTTTGAGAATAAAATTCTTATACGGCAAACGCGTGGCTGACGGTAATTATGAAAATTCGATTGAAAGCGTCGTGCCGCACGTAAACATTCTGATGACATTGCGTACCGTGCATGATTAACATTCTCAGAGGAATCGGAGCCTCGAGGACGGAGTGACCGAGGTCCCTGTCTCTTTTTTTTGGTGTGCGAAGAATTTAAAAAAAAAAAAAAAATAATAAAAAATAAAATAAATAAATAAAAACAAAAATACAGAAAATTAAAAAAATGGAAACTGACAAGGTAGAGAATAGCACGGAAGTGAATGATTCGAAGACGGCGGCGATCAAAATCAAAGAGAAGAAACAAAGCTTGATAGCGGACGTCGCAACTTTAGATATAAAGTCACGTCTTAGTTTGGAGACAACAGAGCTTTCCAGCGAGCCTCACGTTAATGGAATAGCTCAATTGAATGGTATCTGCGACTCTCCTCAAAGAATTGCCGATGCCACTGTTTCTCCACAATCTGAAACAATGGAAACTAGTCATTTAAACCAACATGGTATATAGCCACCAGCTTACTTAATTATATGTGTTATATACACTTAAATATATATATAAAAAATTTATATCTAATTTATATGCACACATATATAATAATATGAATGTCTTATTGTATAAATATTGTATAAATATGTCTTGTTGTATAAATATATCAAAAAATTGTTTTTTTTTTTTATATATTTTATTAAAAAAGATTATATATATGTGCATACACACATGCATATATATAATACTTATTAATATTGCTTGGAAAAAAATATGTTTATTGTTTATTATTTCTTTTATACTAATATTGGATAAGTTTATATATTAAACATGTGTATATTGTTTCTTACACAAAATTCTTATTTGAATATTAACAACTTTTTGCAAGTTAATAAAAAAAAAAAACAAAAAAACAAAAGTTACCAGCCTAAGAAAACAGGTTTTTGTTTATTATCTGAAGTTCTCTCTATATCAGTTAGAGAGAATCAGACTAAGCTAAGTTTGTGTTATTTATGTTATTTGTTGCTAATTAAAGTCTGTATAATCATAATTGTTATTATCATTGTTTACACAATGCTTAGAAATATATAGAAAGTTTATTTTTTTGTTGTAGAACAAGCAGAAACATTATCTATGGAAAGTAAAGACAACGATATCCAATATGTTAGCTATACAAGTGAACTACAAATGCCTGATATTATGAAATTAATACAGAAGGACCTAAGTGAACCCTATTCTATTTACACATATAGATATTTTATTCATAACTGGCCGAAGTTGTGCTTCCTGGTATGTGCTCCGATTTATGATCTTATGTTCAAACAATTTTGGTATATGTAAGATTAGAAGAATGACGCTATTGCAACAGTGATAAAGACTTTGTGACTAATTAATTTTTCGATTGTCTACGTAACTTGCATTAGAACATTCAACATATATTAATATGAGTTTAGACAATGTAAATAGATGGTACAGAAAAAATTCAATTTTATGTTCATCAAGGCAATGCATGGTGATGAGTGTGTTGGTGCCATTGTCTGCAAACTGGACATCCACAGAAAGGTGATAAAACGTGGCTATATCGCAATGCTAGCTGTCGATGTAAAGTATCGAAAACGAAAGATTGGATCGAATCTTGTGAGACGTGCTATACAAGCAATGGCAGAAGACGATGCAGACGAGGTGGTTCTCGAAACTGAAATCACTAACAGACCGGCTCTACGCTTATATGAGAATCTTGGATTTGTGCGTGATAAGCGATTATTTCGATATTATTTAAACGGTGTGGATGCATTGCGACTGAAATTATGGCTCAGGTGAAATTTATCTGCGCGTGCTTATGTCGATAGGTATTTAAATAATTATAATTTTGAAGAGAGATATAACATCTACGCTCTACTATATCAAGAAAAATGAGTGACATTAATGTCAAAGCAATTTTATATATTTTCGCGCACACAAATGTCTTCAATTGCGACACTATGCAATTTATTCTCTAATTTCACGTGTTCTATAAAATAACTTGAATGTGACGATTACATTCAAAATATATCACAGTGAATAACTTATTAAGCAAAAATTTCTACTTATTTCGGAAATAATATATTTAAAGAAATTTGCTTTTCCTAAATAATAACGATCTCCAACAGCCGATACCGACTGATAAAAATCAAGTGTATATGTACAAATCATGTATTTTGTTAATAGTGCCTAACTGTTGCCTCACTGTTAGTTACTTTGTTATGAATTTGCTGCAATTCCTTTGATATTAATGTCCAAATGGAGAGATAGAGATTTCAATTGCAGCTTGAATATAAAAAAAAAAAAAAAAAAAATTAATAAAAGAGTGATAGTGCAAGAGACAAAATTGAGACTGTGAAAAGTGTACTAAAAAACTATTCAATGTATTTTGCTGCGTCTCACATTGATAAAGTGTACATATGTCTATGATTGATATACAATTCATAAATTTTATGTGATTATAGATAACAGTTACTTGCATAAAAATTTATTTACATGAAAGTTGTATATAAAAATACATTACAATATGTGTCTTTGTAAACACAGAGAACTTTAAGAATGGATTCAGCTGTGAAAAACATTTAAAAAGTTCTGAAATGTGAGTCACTCTTTATAATTTGTAATTACAAAAATTATTATTCAAATGTAATTAAATAATTATGATTAGGAAAATTAAAATTCTTTACAACAAATTTAACATCTTTTAGTAAAAATTTTATTTTTTATTTCGTAAATAAAAGATTGTTATTAGTATATTTATAGTAGTGACTGCATTACTAACTGAATCAGAAATTAATCATATAATTCATATAGGATACTACACTTATCTTGCCCTACCTGCGCTACCTGAACTATCAGCTTGATTATGTGACATGTTTTGGATGTTTTCAATTATGAATTTTTTATCGTTTTTTAATGTTGAATCCTGTTTATTTATTTTAAGTGTTTCACCAAGAAACGATAATAAAATTGTGTTACTAATATAGAGCGAAACAAAAAAATTGCTATCACACAATACGGACAGTTGTCGCATAATGTTATAATAATCAAGTGTGCGACTTTGTCAGTGTGAACAGCAGTTTGATAGAAATAAAAACTGAGTCCCACAAAAAAAATGGACGGCGAAACTTTAGCAAAATATTTCCGTTTAAAGTTGTAAAAAAATGATATATATATATATATATACACACACACGGAAATATATCAATATTTATATATATAATATATTAAAAACCGATGAAAAAAAAAAAAAACAGAAAAAGAAATTATCGTTTACGAAATTGAAATATTTCGCAAAAAGTACGCCTCACGCGCAACGGTTTTGCGGAAGAGGAGAGGTATTCATTACTCTGTCTACCTATTATATCTATCTTTGTATAAAATACAGTGCAACTTCGCATTTCTTGACGTGTCGGGACCGTAATCATCTCGCACATCTTGATCTTTTCTCTCATCTCTACTTTTGATAAACACATAGTTTTGCGTTTACGCGTGCGGTCGGAGAAGTCACATAGGTCACATACATCACATTGTGCGATCGGACAGCAAGTGCTCGGTTGTGAGGTAGAAAATATGAGGAAGAAGAGATTAAGAAATGCTAGGTATATAAAAAATAAATGCGGGGTGTGTAAAGAAGTGCGAAGTTACGTTGTAAATGCGAAACACACACAGATCATAATGTGTAACTATTAAAAAATGTAAAAATGTTAATAAAAAATACATAAATGTTTTTACACGTGTCTTGTTTCTGTTATATTTAGAGTATATAGAGTATATTTATCAGCTACTAAAACACACATTCGTAAGTTTTTTCTATTTTTCAATTTTTGACGCTCTTTCGATCACATGGTACATAATTTTACGGAATTTCTCTGATTGGTCGCTTTCCTATAACTCATTTCCATTTCGCTCTTATAAAACAATAAAGAGTTAGACAGGGAATCAACCAATCACGATCATTCCGTTCTGTATAAAATTATATCTTGTACGAATTGAATCCCGGTTTGCTGAAAATTGGAATCGCTCATTTTTTCGCGACTATCGATCTCTCGTCACAAGTAATTCCATTTCTATTATTTGATTTGCGTGTGTTACGCATGACAAGAAACAACGCGGTAGCTAATCAGCGTTTTGCTGTTATGAAAAAACAGCAAGTTGATTGGCTATTCGATTGGCGTCGCTTCTAGTTGTGCGTAAAGCCTGTTCTACATTGGGTGCGTTCAGACAACTCAACAGTTGCACAACGGTTGAGAGATAATCACTTCTGATTGGATCATACTTTTGGAACCGCATCAGATTTTGAAGAATAGTCCTATCATAAGTGATGATCTCTCAACCGTTGAGTTGTCTGAATGAACCCATTGATCGCAAGCGCAAACGCAAGGAACAGGTCTGGTAGAATTGACTCAATCGTATTGATCAAATCAGCCAATTGACCAGCGTGATTGGTCAATTCCACGAGATCTATATCTTGCGTTTGCGCTTGCGATCAATGTAGAACGGGCCTAAAGCCCTGTCACAAGATGTCGCCATATGTTCTGCTTGATACCGCTCTCTATGTATTTTATATCTCATGTCTAGACGCGTGCCGCGAATTATTGGCGAATACGGAACGGAACTTTGGAATCAGAAGGATCGTGCCGTGAACCATTAGAAGTCTCCTAGTTCTCGAGACGGTATTCGGCAGCAAAGTACATCGAGGTAAGTAAAAATCTGATAATCCAAACGTATCATATGTGAGAGAAAGCAATCCGTTGATGGAATATCTGAAATAACGTTCTTTATTTCTTCGGCTTTTGTTAAAACGCCGTAGTTTCCATGCTGCGAGTCTTATATACATCTCCAAGATCGATTTAATTGTATGACGCTCGCGAGCGTCTTCTTGCCCGACATCGGATATTAACGCAAGATGTCGATAAATTTGACATATTTTGTATGCGCATTTGTTATTTTATTATTTGTTCTTGTAATAACTAAGAGTTTCTTCTAAAAGTTGCCTCGAATTATCTCGTATAGTAATGTATTTTGTACATTTTCGTCGGTTGCGCGGTGCAGAATAGCGGCCATTACACAAATGTGCAAAATCGTTATTTTTGGCGCTATATGTTGCATCAGGTGTATATTTTTTAACTACCTTTCTTTCATTTTAGTAGAGCAAATAAATCCTAAGATATCTTATTTGAAATTTTATAGGAAATATTTAAAAATGTATATATGCATATATATATATATTTATATACATTTATATACATTTATAGAAATTTTATATACATTTATAGAAATTAAAAATATATATGTATAGAAATTTTGCTTTTATATGTAAGTGTGATAAGAGATTATATACTACACATATACGTAGATGTTATACAATTTGTTTTATTTTTTTGTGTACTACTTTGTATAAATTATAATTTTTTGTTTATTTTTGTATTTAATTCTCAATGTTTTGTATTAAATTTTGATTTTAGTCTTTTATTTAAGTAATTAAACAAGACACAATGGCGGATAATGATGATCTCTTGGATTACGAAGATGAAGAACAGACTGAACAAGTAGTTGATGGGAGCGGAGATGTTCCTGCAAAAAAAGAAGTCAAAGGCACATATGTCTCTATTCACAGTAGTGGATTCAGGGATTTTCTCCTTAAACCAGAAATTTTACGTGCTATAGTTGATTGCGGATTTGAACATCCATCTGAAGGTAAATGGGATTTGTTATAAGTTTTTATTTTATTTAAATATTTACTTATTTTTGTCAAAAATGATGTATAACATCTGTTAACGCTAGATAGGGACAACTGATGTTCTGTGACGTGATCAAATTTTTTCTGATACCATCATGTTTTAATATTAGATGCATCTTTTTCTATATAAAATGTATTAATAACATTTATTATTTTTTTTTATAGTACAACACGAATGTATTCCTCAAGCTGTACTTGGCATGGATATACTGTGTCAAGCAAAATCTGGCATGGGAAAAACTGCTGTATTTGTACTAGCTACACTTCAGCAGTTAGAATTAACAGAAAATCAAGTCTATGTCCTAGTAATGTGTCATACCCGGGAACTAGCCTTCCAAATCAGTAAAGAATATGAGAGATTTAGCAAATACATGCCACATGTAAAAGTAAGTTTTACAAGACATATATATAAACAAAAATAAATAAGTAAAAATTCACATTTTTTTAAATAATAAAACTTACAGGTTGGTGTATTCTTTGGTGGTTTACCTATCCAAAAAGATGAAGAAGTATTGAAAACTGTATGCCCCCATATTGTCGTTGGCACCCCTGGTCGTATCCTCGCTCTTGTACGTAATAAGAAGTTAAATCTGAAGCATCTCAAGCATTTTATACTTGATGAATGTGACAAGATGCTTGAGTTATTAGGTATGTAATGACAGTAACTAGTATTAATCCTTTTTAAAATATGTAACTTTTGTAACACTTCTGCATGATGTTTAAAGAAGATCTTAGTTCACTGTGCTGACTATGCTTATCACCACTCATCTTACTGAGATTTTTTTATAGTTTATTCCGTAATAAATTTCTCATTTGTGATATTAAACAACTGTTTATATTGTATTGTTGCAGATATGCGCCGGGATGTACAGGAAATATTTAGAAGCACACCACACAGCAAGCAAGTCATGATGTTCAGCGCCACGTTATCTAAGGAGATACGTCCTGTCTGCAAAAAGTTCATGCAAGATGTAATTACACAATCTTCCTCTTCACTTCTACGATCTACAATTGCTCCTACTTCGTTGGCCCTGTATTCATATCCAGGACAAAGCTCAGCCTACACTATAAATATCATTGTCGGCGCATCCGCGGGTTAGGCGACTTATACGGCACTTCGAAGAGAAAACAAAGTTTTAAAGTTAAAAAAAAAAAAAAAAAAAATTTTGTTTGATATCTTTCGTAAACGATGCAGTAATATGGCCGAAACTCGTGTCCAATATTATGTCTCGTTGTTCTCTCCGAACTCCGTTTCGGATGCGTCATCGTTTACATATGCATATGAAGGGGCAGAATATTTGTCTAGAATTGAATTTGTTTAGAATATGTCAATCGTTCAAGATGGCTTTCGAGAAAGATCCGCTATAGTTTTGATAAGCTCCTTTTATTAGTTAATTGCTACGCATTTAAGAGATTACACAGTATATATATAAAAAAAACTAGATATGTCAGGGAGTATGATGAGGGGAAAAGGGAAAGATTTCTGCACTTTTATATTGATAATCATTACAACTACTGGTTGAGTAGAATTGGGATCAGATTCATATTACTTTTGAAATTTGTGGGTGGGGGGCCAAGAAGACTTCAAGACAATCTCAAGACAGAAGAGCTCAAGAAAGAAGATGCAAGAGGATACCTAGGGGGATTAATTAGGAGTAGTTAGGGAAAAACAAAAGAGCGTAGCATAATTAATATATCCGGTCTAGTCGCAAGTTAAAGCATTTAAGATTTTCTTGTCTCGTGCAAAGATTTCTATTAGAATCTACGTACTTTTTGATAGAAGTGATATCAATGAAGAACGGAAGTGCCGTATTTAAGAGCCGGAGCTTATTCCTGCAATAGAAGCCTGTAAAGCCACGTGAATGTTAAACGCAAATTCTCGTGTATCGTGATTGCATTATTTATTTCGCACGAGTGACAAAACGGTCGCGATTTAACGGAGTTACCAAAAGTGTTAAAATTTGTGAGAAGCGAGTATAAACCAACCAATGATATAAGTCAATTCTGGGCATCTTCTTAATGTGCCAGAAATTTGGGAGAAGAGATTTGGCATCGAGTGGCCAGCGGATGTGACCGAACGTTCTCTCATGGGTGCGCCTTCTTAAGTTCAGTTGGGGTGAACAGCAGTGTTTTCATTGTTGGCACTACCCAGAGGTGGAAGTCGCCGGACCGTATGTAATCTGTATGACTAAACCGATCGACGATCACGATATACTCCGCAACTGAAATACAAAAGTCTTTCATCAGACTTTCGGTATTTACGGATGTATATGGTAACTTAAAAAATCTAACGTTCTCTCTCCCTGATGAAGAAAAATTATATATTCGGGAGTATATTCAAAATACTGACATTTTGGTCTTGCTTTATGTCGTTTCAAAACTACTTATATATTGCAAAAATACTGACACATTTTAAAACTTATATGTGCGTGAGGAACGATGTGATAGTCATATCGGAAAATAATAATATTTTTAACACGTTTTGTTTTTGCTAATTTATAATCGATGGAATCATCATCGCTTTGCTATATATTCGGTCGTTTATACAAGTTTTTGATGGCGAAATGAGCTTCAGAAAATCACGAACTCTTAAGTCTGAGAGTTATGTAGGCACTATAACTAATTTGATGGATTTGTTTGTCTTACAAAACAACATTCTCTGTGCAGCCCATGGAAGTCTATGTCGATGACGAGGCGAAGCTTACTTTGAATGGTCTGCAACAACATTATGTTAAATTGAAGGAAAACGAGAAGAACAAGAAGTTATTTGAACTACTCGATGTTCTTGAGTTTAATCAGGTTTGTTTGCAGATAAGAACACAATTCACATACATTTTCTGTTTTGAAGAATCTTTATATGATGATATAAGAACTGTCTGTCTCACTGTGATGACTATTCTTACCATTACCCACCTATTCTGAAGAAGATTCAAGTATTTGTTTCATTATTTTTTTTTAAATAATGCCACTTATATATCATGCATTTGTAAGTCGCAAAGATTTTTTGATACGCGACACACTGATGTGAGTATCTTTTAATCATTCTCTGTAGGTTGTCATATTTGTAAAGTCTGTACAAAGATGTATGGCTTTAGCGCAACTCTTAACAGAACAGAATTTCCCTGCGATTGGGATTCATCGAGGCATGACGCAAGAAGAGCGGCTGTCCAGATATCAACAGTTCAAAGATTTCCAGAAGGTAAATTAAATCGTTCTTTTTTCTTTAAAATGTACACAGTAGAGTACATTATTGGAAATGTGTGTTTTTATTGTTAATGTGAAACAGATTTATAAGATATGAACAAAAGGATATAAATTATAATTTTTATCTCTTTCAGCGTATTTTGGTAGCGACAAACTTATTCGGGCGAGGTATGGACATAGAACGTGTAAACATTGTATTCAATTATGATATGCCAGAGGATTCTGATACATATCTTCATAGAGTAGCGCGCGCTGGTCGTTTTGGCACTAAGGTAATAATATTGTTGCAATCTCTGTGTGAGAAACTGGGGCTTAACATGTATTAATTCGAAAATGTTTTTCTTTAGGGTCTTGCCATTACAATGGTAAGCGATGAAAGCGATGCCAAAATATTAAATGATGTTCAAGAAAGATTTGACGTAAATATTACAGAATTACCTGACGAAATCGATCTCGCTTCATACAGTAAGTCAATTTCCAAATAATAACTTGCACCATTTGTATCATATTGTTTGATGTTCAATGTATTAATCAACGTTTGTTTATTTTTTTTGCAGTTGAAGGACGATGAATAAACATTCGTACCGTTTTAATAAGATTCTTTGGAGCACACTATTTAAGTGAGTATGATTAAAATAATTACGAACACACGAAATAATAGTATAATTTAGTGCCGAATAATATTTAATTTATTTGTAATTTTTGCTTGCAGTAGCTTTTTATTCGCAACACGAGATAACTACAAATAAACACAAGAGAATCATANAAANNNAANNANAAAAAAAAAAAAAAAAAAAAAAAAAAATTGATAAACTTATTTACTGCAATAAACTGAGTTTTGTATTAATGTACTAAGTTGATTAGTGATTAATAAGACCAGTCGATGTAACACACCCATCATACAGCTGTGCTATTACATATATATATTACGTATATATATATACATACATATATATATATATATATATATATAATACAAAAGAGGACGACACAATAAACTTATTAATAAAACTGTACATTTTAGAGATATATCTTACTTCATGATTATTTTTTATTATATGATCACAGAAAATAAGATATTGTGTATATATAGTGAAGATGCTAAAGTACACCGCACCTGATGTGTAAAAAAAAAATTTAAATAAAACATTCTTTTATAAACAACGATGTATATGCGAGAAATTTATTATCTTCTCTCAAAGACAAAAATTTATGTAGTTCTCTTGAAATCATTTTATGACACTCGTTAAAGCTGTCCACCAGCTGATGTCCTTGTTTAATTAATGACATCAGAAGCAAAAAAACCTTGCAAATTGATTTTTTTAGTTTTCTCTTAAAAATAAAAAAAAAAATAAAAATTTAAGAATTCCGGATGAAGTGAGACATGGCAAAGAAGGATATACAAACTCTTAAAAATATAATTGTTTCACAATCTTGAAACCTATCGATTATGTCAAAGATTGACAATTTTTTTGTCCAATGTCATAGAAATATAAACTAATTTCTAAACTAGTATATTGTTTCTCTTGTCAATGTAATTTTACTTTTGATATCATTAAAAAGTGAGAATAGCAGAGCCTTAAATTGTACATCTTTTTTTTTTATCGTACAATTGCAGAATTAAAGCACTAAGTATCTTTGTAACTTTACACTCGTTTTCATTTTTTTAACAAAAATGTGAGAATTCATAAGAAATTGAATAATAAAAAATCTTTGATAATAGATCTACTACTAGTAAGATTGTTCTGTTATTACTAGTATTGTTGATGTAATACTAGTAAGATTATTCACACAATGACTTAAATATTATGTGACAAGGATAATTTATAAATTATACAAATTTTTATTTAGGTCTTGGTTTATTTTGTATTTTATTCCCTGTACCACCTTGGGTACCACCGCCACGACCCAAAGGTGCTGGACCTCTTCCTCCTCTTCCAAAAGTTCCTAAATAATTTATACCATAAGTTCAATTAGCTAATTGACAAATTGCCAAAAATTTTCAGATTGAATAATTTTACAAGCTAAAACTCAAAGAATATCTGATCTTAGATGAAAAAGTATAAATTTGAATTTGCCAAGAAATATAGTTTTGTTTTAAGTATATAAAAAGCTTTATACTTTAAACTGTATGTTATTACCTCTTCCACCACCACGTCCTCTCTGAGCTTGGCCACGACCTTTTACTTCACCACGACCTCTTGTTTTTGTTTGTATATCCTCCTTTACCATATCTATCACCTCATCCGGAATTCTTAAATATTTTATTGTGCTGCCTCTTATATAGCATTCAGGCATTCTCCAGAACTTATCACCATCCTAATATAAATCACCAACAGTAAGCGAACACTTCTAGATTATTAATAAGAAAAAAAATCTTCCCTTATAGCTATTAATACAGTAATAAATGATCTTACCCTCGATGTGCATATAACCTCTCTGAGATTTATGTTCATCCAATTATCACAGCTAACTAAATGACCGTTGTACGTTTCTCCATTTTTTAGTTCCACTAACTGAAACGAGAATTAAAAATAAATATACAGTAACGCGTAAAGATATCTTATTTTGTGCCGATAAATTAAAAAAATATATATATAAATATTCAAAATATACTCACCATAGGATGATTTTGCGCAGTCTTCAATAAGGTTAAAGGCAACTGGAAAAATTAAAATTGTACGTTTCTTATATATTTTTAATTTAAATATATTAGTTAGAACAAAACTCACCATTGTTTTATTTGATTGATGTACAACAATAAATAGAAATTGTAAACACTTCACTGAAGGTTATGACTCCAACCGGCAAAAGGCAGCAAGTAACGCTAGTTACTCTGAAAAGTACTATGTTGGTAAAGGCCAAGGCCAAGGTCCGCAGAATAGGGCCCTGTTCCGTTATTCCAGAGTTTATCTTTCTTTTTCCAATGTGGAGTAAAAAAGATAAGTTCTGAGGGCGATGTCCCATTGAGCGGAAATCTATAGCGGAACGGAATGTGTGGAACCAGCTCGACCAATCGTAACCATAGAAAAAGCGAAGGAAAGAAAACGGAATGGCTATGATTGGTCGAGCTGGTTACGCACATTCCGTTCCGCTATATATTTCCGCTCAATGGGACATTGCCCTGAACTAGTGCATCAAGTACAGGTAAAAAGAACTAGACCTTAAGTTTGTTTCATTTCCCTACACTATTGGCTGCACTAGTTCACGGTCTATCTCTTTTTATCGATATTAGAAGGAAAAATATAAACTCTGAACTAGTGCAGCCAATTCAGGGAAATAAAAAACAAACCTATTATAGTTATATATTTTGATAGTTTGATAGCGATATATAGTTGCGTATTTCATATAAATATTCGAACCATGTAACTCGTATTAATTTAAACGGGCATGCTGACTGACGTCGCTCCCGCATTTTCTGATTGATCGAGAGTTACCAGGCAACCTTTCTATTCTACAGATCTTGGGAAAAGGCTGTATACAAAAATGATGAAACTCGCTTGGTAACATATCACTATATCATTATAGTACGTAAAACATAAAGTAGATGGTGCATCTTTCAATTTTGATTTTGACTTGATGATCTGTCATTTTACATCAAAGAGATGTAAAAGAGATGCGTTTTGTTGATATATTTTTCGGTATTTTCTATATCAATCAATTTAGATTTTTCTTCACTTCTTTTATCTTGTAATTTTTTTTAATGATTACGTCATAATTATTTTCCAGCACATTATAAATGTGATTGAGAAGAGAATCAAAGTTCTTTGAAATTTACGAGAACAGAAATTAGTGAAAAAACTCTACTGAATTACAATACTACTGTATTAGAACATTACTATTAACCTTGAACATGTCACAACAAAGTGCTACTGTGCAAACAACTACTACAGGCACAGATATAACACCTGCCGTGCTTGGGACTTTGCAGTCTGTAGGACCAAGTAGTCAAGCTCCAGCTTTATCTAACATTCAAAGCAACAGCACCACAACAACAACAATCCAGACACAATCTCAACAAACTCAGTACATCTCACAACCAGCTCCGAAACAAGTACAACAGTCATCCACTCCAAATTTTAGCGATTTTCCACAAGTATGTGATCTACTTAAACATTACATTATTAAGGAAAAAACAATTTAACTTTTATTGTTTATGTTTTTGTTAAAATAATTTATCAGCAAAAACTGATACAAGATATTAATAAATGATACAAGGTATATATTATATACTATATGTGTTTGTTATTTCAGTTTTTGACAAAAACAAGGTTGCAAGATTTAGTCAGGGAAGTAGATCCTACTGAACAATTAGATGAAGAAGTAGAAGAATTACTTTTGCAATTGGCAGATGACTTTGTAGAAACAACAGTGAATGCAGCTTGTCAATTAGCAAAACATCGCCGTGCAAATACAGTAGAAGTTAAAGATGTACAATTACACTTGGGTAAGTTATACACATGCACGCAATTATTAAGAAATTAACTTTTTTAATTTACAAAAACCTTTAGAAAAGATCATGTTCAAGTTTCCATCTTTCTAAAAAAAAAAGACCAGTGATTCTACTTCTAAACTATTTTCAACAACTATTTTTTTAACACTATAAAGCAAAACTAAAAGCATAAGAACTTTTTAAACCTACAAACTATAAATTTTCATGTTACATACACACAATATATGATGATTATGCACATAAATAATCTGAGTATAATTAAAATTAAATTCTATTTAAAATGTTTTAATTTGTAGAAAGGAATTGGAATATGTGGATTCCTGGTTTTGGCACAGATGAAGTGCGCCCATACAAACGAGCTACCGTTACCGAAGCACATAAGCAAAGATTAGCACTTATACGAAAATCCATAAAAAAATATTAATCTCTTTGGTGAATTACAAGATTAGTTAATCTCTCTTGCAATCTCTAATATATTTTATACATTTTATAACAATCTTACTTATATATTACCTTATAGTGTTTAAATAGTATACTTTGCTTATAATAAAAAGTATTACTTAAAAATTCTATTTTATTACGAAACTAACACTCGATATTCTTGGTTTTGTGTGATATTTGACTCATACAAGATTAAGAAAAGAGTAATGACACCGTGAGAAAAGAGTTTTATTTACCGAAATTAATGTCCTTTACGTAAGAGAAGAAGTTAAGTTAAAGGAGACACTGCTATAATAGTACAACTTTTGTCTTGAGAACAATTTAAGGAACAATTGTGCTATGTCTGCAGCTGCTACGCGATATGACAATAAACACCATTTCGACCAAGGTATTTAGCATTGTTTAAGACAGTACATAAAGTAGTTGTCAGCGTCATTGGATCGCTTAACAAGCATAAACTCACTTTTACGCATTCAAAATGATTTATACATGTAAGATTTTCCAAAAGATTGTGAGTTTTTAAGCAATTGAAAAATACTGCTTAATAATTTATTGTAATAATATTTTCGTGATGTTTAAGCTATTTTATTTAAAGAAATAAAAACATCAAAAAATAATATTACTGTAATTCTGAAGGAACATACTATAATGTCACCTCAGCTTTTTTATTTATAAATTTGTTATTTATATATTTTTTGACGGTAATGATAACTGTAAAATAAAATTGTTTATATTAATATTTTTTATGTATTTAAATCTATTTTTTAACATGTAAAAAAAGTACTTGAAATTAATGAAATAAAAGTAAAACAATTTATATCTTCTTTCTTATAATATGCACGAACTTTTCTTATACTCTTATATTGTTGATATTGTAAATGTACTGGAACATGCAACATTTACAGTTCTAACAATCGAGTATAATTGATATGTAATCTTAAATTTTAATCAAGACATTGCGTACACATTTAAGTTTATTTCAAAAAGTCTTTTCATCGCAAGCAACTGATATAAATAAAAAACCCGCAGAAGTCTAGGGTATTCTTGATCCGAACATCTCTAACATGGATAGTAATCAGGGATTCCCGGAAAATCATCGCTGAAACGCTGGGTACTTACCGCTTTATTTAACAGTTGCGAACGACGCGTCATCTGATGATATATAAATAGAAGGCGCAGCTGGTCTCTCACTTGTTGCCTTGCTTGATATCGTTACGCAAGTAGTTCCTGGAGAATTATTTTGGACCAAAGAAAGGTATTTGATCATTTTACAATTCTTTAATTAATTTTTTGATATATATATGGGTGATTCTCTGTGAACGCGTAAATTTCAACTTTCAGTTTTGATAAAAAATAATTATTATTAACTAACGGATAGCGGTGAATTATGTTTCTTCATACCAGTTTAAGTCACCATTCGTAATATGAATACGTGACTATGCAATATAAAAAACTTATCTATGTTTTTTATGTCAATATACCACGGAGATTACAGTCCACGGAGATTACGTTTTTTGAGAATTACCCATATACATGCATACATTGAACATTTTATTATAATTTATTATATTTTATTATATATTTTATTATATTTTTTTCGTTATAATATTTTATTGTCTTTTTCTTTGTTTTATTGCTTTCTCCCTATCTTTTTATTTTAGTTTATTTTTTTCTTGTTTCTATATGTACAAGCGCAATTTGTTATAATGATATATCGTTGTGATGAAGTTAATTTATTTTTATATATTTTTACATTTTCTGTCGCTCACTGCATATTACAATAAAACAAAGACCGAGTTTAAATTGTTAGAATGTATTCAATATATATATATATATATATATATCTATTTGTTTCATATTTTATAAATACTTGTATTATTGACAGCTCACGAGAATTTGCTCTACCATCAAGCTAACAGACGCGAGGGGCAAGGGGAATCGTCCGTCCGCTCCACCCCTCTACTAGATAGTTTCTGTCGAGGCAGGGATATGCCCACAAGCGAGGACGCGTCCGTGAGCTCACACGGTTCTCGCTTGTGGGCATATCCCCACCGCCTCGACAGAACCTACCTAGTAGAGGAGATTAGATGGAGCGGACGGACAATTCCCCTTGCCCCTCGCGTCTGTTAGCTTGTGGGTAGAGCGAATTCTTGTGAGCTGTCAATAGTACACATACATACTAACTTAAGTCATTAATATTATTTAATTTTATACGTTTTGTGCTATTTATTTTCAATAACTGTTTCTATGGATAATCTTGAAAGTATATAAAAGTATAAAATTAGATATAGTAATATCTTATCTATTTTGTTGATAAAAAGATATATGTATGTATATAGAAAATCGTGCAATTTAAAACTTTATATTGGAAATGTGAGATATAACTGTGACAAGTCTTTGTATTTCATAATTTTTATATTGTTAATTATTTTACAATAAATAAAAAATAATTTATCAAAAAAATTCTGCATATTGAAAACGAAAGTTGTAAAAAATAAAAAGCGATTGTATAAAACCGAATCAAAGTATTATATATATTTTAGAGAGTTTTTTGCGAATATAAATAATCTTACGGTTAAAAATAGTAATTAACTATATATTGTACATATTTTAAAAAATACTCACTTGTAAAAATTTACAAGTTGAACTCGTTACATGTGTATGCATATATATATATATACACACATATACAGTTTTCTCTCAACATCCTAGGAACGGCTCGTAAGGCCTTATATAAGCCTCACTGCAAATGTTTTGAAGCATATCTTTATTTCTCGTTAAATGTAGAATAAAGATAAAATGATGCTTGGAAACATTTGCAGTAAGACCGCACCCTATTAATTGTTTAAAAAATATCTCAAGTATTCTAAAAGATTTGAAAAACATTGAACTATTTTAGCTGGATACATACATATATACAGCAACAAATAAAATTATGTTACATTTTATTAGATTTTTTTATGCTTGTAAATAATTTTGCAACTAAACCAGTGAAANATATTAAGAAATAAATAAATATTAAATAAATAAATATTATTTTAATAAAACAATACACATTTACAATATTATTTTTTACAGACATAAAAGAAATAAAGTTTTTGCACAACGACAAAAAGAATAAATAAAAAATGGCTGCAAATAATATTCAGGTAAGTTTTTTATGTTAACATATATACATATATTATTTGTTTTAAAATGTTAACAAAAAATTTTTATTTTAAATTTTTTAAGTTGCTTTGCTCTAATCATGTATTTGGGCTACCATTCAATTATGATGCTACATATGAATATAATATAAAAATTTCTTGATAATTTTTTAAAATATAAATTTAATAAATTAATAAGAAGAGAGTAAAGATGCCTGTGTGTAATGCAAGTTATATATATTATTAATGTATGTTTGTGTTTTTTCAGGAAAAAAAGAAAAACCTTGCCATAGAACAGCAACAATGTTTTTATGAACTTCTTCCTGACTTCGTAAGATATGAACCATACGAACATAAATATTTGAAACAGAATATTGGATATGCAATATTTGGACCACCAGCAATGAGCAATGAAGAAAGAGAAGAGATAATGGACCAAAAAGGAAGAAGCAATTGCTATTACAGTTCACAAAATACAGATAATATAGATAGAGATATCGTCGATATAGTTGATTATGATAAACAAGCTAGAGGAGTTATAAACAAAATATATGATCGAATATGTGAATGTGCTTATATAAAAACTAATCCTCAATCAATTTATGTTGGCATAATTTACAATGTAATTTTCTTCCCTGATGAAAACTTGGAATCCAAAAAAGAGGAAGACTCAAATAAAAAAAAAGAAAAAAAAAAGGAAAANAGTGTACGGCCTGTGATATTACCAATCCCAATTTTTACAATCGGATTAAATAGTAAGGGAAAATTTTTTATTGGAAAAGCTGCAAATCATATAGGCTATACAAAATATACCACGATTCAATCAGATTATGAAGTACGGTACATCGATACCAACGCCAGAGTCTATGACACTTGGACCAGCTATGTAACAACCAATCCTCTACCAGAATGCACTATGGTTCTTCCAAAAAATGGTGTTTATCAACCAGATTTAAATTATCCAATTGCAGAAGATTACTCAACAGTTTGGGTCGAAATTATGGATTCACCTGCATGTTCCACAGCAGCAAAAGTATGCAGAGGAATAGATTATGCCTCTACTGCCGCCGGGATAGCTGGAATTGGTGTAGGCATAGCATCAATGTTCACACCTCTTGCACCAGTTGTTGCTGTATCAGGTAAATTATCATAATATATTATAAATTATTTTAATGTAATTATCTATATATATAAAATAATTTATACATAATTTATAATGATTTATTAATTATATCTTATCTCTTTCGCGCGCGTGTCAATTTATAAAATTTATATTATAAACATCAGTATATTTCATGTATATTTTGTTCTAAATATGTTTTGTTATATATATTAGGTCTTGTTGCTACTGGTGCATCTGGTGCTTGGACAATGGGTCGATGTTCTGAACAACTGATAGATCGCAGTAACCATATGGAATCTATTTCTCTTTTTGATAGAGAAGCACTTCCACATTGGCTTGGCTTAGCCGGCTCAATAGCCGGTTTAGGAACAGTTGGAGGAGGAATACTTCTTTCTAGAGTTGGAGCAAGTGGTAGGATAGTAAACAATTTTACAAAAGTAGCTTATAATACTATGCTCGGTGGCAACCTGGTCTTGAACGGCGTTGGCGTTGTATATATGAGTTATTCTATGATAGAAAAATATATGAACGAAGGAACTGTCAGTGTCATAGACGCGTTAAACTTGGCGACACATGTTATGTTTTTTGCTACTTCTGTAGTAAAGGTTAAATTTGCTGGCGATATTATTCAGGAAAGCCAAGGTAAAGTCCTTAAAGACTACAGAAGCACTTTGCGCAACAAACGTCTTCGTTACAAGTTCAATCGCGTTACACGAAGAGCTGCACTAAATAATACATGTCCGATATCTGCGAATGCAGAAATAATACGTTACATAAAACATCGTGAACAATTAGTTTCTTCTAATCAATCTTCTGGCGGTCCTTCACCATCAGGTAGTTCAGATCAAACTGGACGTCCAACGTGGACGTTTGACAAAGATAAGATAATGGTCGGTAGCATCATGCTATTAAATCCTCTTGAATTTGTTATACGTAATATAAACTCAGTTGCATCTACCGAAGATTTTGAAAGTAATTTGTCCAACACTCAAGAGTATGACGATAATTATAACGTTGATGACTTGGTAAAAGAACTGACCAAATTATTGAATGAGTTTTATACGCAACATTGTAGTAATTCTAAGAGCAGGGCGGAAGCATCAGATTTAATATCATTGCTTAGACACATGAGATTTTTGAATATTGATGAGGACTGTTTAAAGAAGATATTTGTAATCGTCAAAGAACTAGTATTGCGTTTCGAAAACTCGAAAGAACTTTTCATCAAGGCTTTTACTTTTGTTTGGAATTATTGTAAAGCAAATTTGCGGCAGTGGGGCATACACTCGATTCATCGCATACAGAGCGATTCAGGTTCTAGAATTTTGCAAAAGATTATCACAGTGATTTCTGAAGCAATCGATACAATCCTTTCAAATTTGTTTGAAGCATTTACGCTATATTTGAATAAAAACATTTAAATTAATTTTAGGTGAGATTAATATACTCTAAACGTTTTGTACTTTGTTGTAGAAATAACAATAATTCATATAAATATATATATACATGTATATAATATATATACATATATACATATATATATAAGATATATAAAATAATTCACAGACCAATATATATATATATATATATATATAAACTTAGATAAAGAATTATATTTAGTATACTTTTATAATGTAACAAATTCATAAAAACAACAAATAAACATTAAAGAGAAATAATTAAAATCGACTATATATTTAATTTCACCATTCCTGGAAAATTATTAGATCAGTAGATCCTTTGGTATTATATAAAAATTAATAACAAAATAACTGAAAGAACACATGTGTGTATATATACAGAATATACATAAAATAAAATCTTCATCAACTTCAAAATTAATTTCAATCAATTTAATGTGTTTGTTTATCACATCTCTATTTGCAAAACGGCATGTACACATACGAGCCATAAAAACGATTCATTGTGGCTTTCGTGCAAGTTCACTTTAATACGCGTATTTGATAATAATAGGAATATAATATTCTTGTACGGTAATATTTGTCACACACACATTTTCCGAACCGCGTAAGTTAAAAAAAATTCATCTAAAATTAAAAAATTACTTCTATTGTTCTGACAAGGACAGCGAAAGAATTGAAACGCCATATTGTGTTTTCTTGTGAAATACTATTTAAAAATGCAGAATATATTTGTAAATTATAGAAACGATTTCGTACAGATATTACACACGCGAAGGAATAAGGCGGAACAGCGTATCATTCACTTTCAAATATAAAGACCATATAAATATAAAGAAAATGCTCGCAAGCTGATTCGCATGTAGCAGGTATTAAAAATATATAATCTGTATTCGTATGACTTATACATATGCATTATATAATCCAAACACAGCGTTGGCGGTTATATTTCCACGTTCGTTCTTCTTAATCTTCTATTATTACACAATATTCGTCGAGACATTCGGTCAGTTTAAAAAATGTTTCATTCTCTGTACATGCAAGTTTCGTCAAACAGGCGCTTAAAAATCGCAACAAGTTATTTCAATCCTCGTATCGTAGACACATGATGAAACAACTAGTAAAAATTCGATAATTTTGCGATGAACAGCTACTCGTCGTAGTATAAGAAGCGATCCATCAGAACAATCCTATTTCTTTCTTGAGATTCACTTGCTTCCAGACTGGAAGCTGATGAAAGTCTTCTTTGCTCATTCCTAACAGTTCCTGCGATGACAGAATATATTTTATACAATCGGATCGTAAGTATTCAAGAGTATATGACACTAACCTGAAAATGTTGTTGGGACAGATACAACTCCAAACGTGTTGGATCAACTCCGTCGGGTAAAGGTCTTTGTAACAATTGAGCAGGAGGATATGTACTTTGCGTCAAGCGAGCCAATTCATTTTCCGCACTTAATAATTCTCCTGGATTTCGGCTATTCTGATAACATATATAACATACACACAATATTATATGCTCAACACTTATATATACACATATATATATAAATTCCATATTTTCTTACAAAATTTGATAAATCATGAAACATGCTAGTCACGTATCTATTTATTTATATCTACTACGGTCGTGTAAGTATACCTCTATGTTTAATTCTGCGATGTCGTCGCGATATGTCCATTCAGGAAAGAGATTTATAAATTGCAATTGTTCTAAGCCAGCCCATACTAAATATATCGGAAGATTCGTTGTTTGTGTGTTTCGAGTCTTTTGCCAATATCTTATTGCTAGCGTCATCGCTGCTCTTCTCTCTGCTTGCCACCGAACGGTTTTGCTTCCGGATTGATCTTCCGCTTCACTATCAGGCCACCATCCTTGCCAAATCCAAATCACATCTTTGTTGTCCAATAAGAATAGAGCTGAAATTATTATAAAAATTGCATCGTTCGTAAGACGAGTAAGTTTTGTTAAAGATTTCGATGAAAACACACAACTTCCTCGATTGTGAGAAATTAATGCGTTTTTTTTTCAAGTTTTATCGTCTGATTTTTAAAATACACTTTTAAAAGAGCTATACCTGGTTGGCTTGCTTGATACAAATCATCCTGTAAGAAAGGAAACGGCGTCGTGAGATCAGCACGATGCTGACAGAGTATTTCCGTTGCGCCAAATTTTTTAGAAATGCTCGTCAAATGATAAAGTCTCGGAGTGTGATCCTGTATCTCAGTTGTTCCCAATGACCAGTACAACTTTTTGTTCACGCCACATAATGCTGATAAAAATTGATGAAGAAAAAGATTAAATTTTAATAAATAAGCAAAAATTTGTTACATATTAGGTTTTAATATGAAGTCTTCACTTACCATTATCGAATTCTTCAGGTTCCGAGTTTTCTTCAACCTCGCATATTTCTATGTTGTCTATGTTTGACAATCCAGCTTCTTTAGGTCGAGTTTCCTTCAATTTGTTTGCAGCCATTAACGCATTCTACAAAAATATCGGAGAAATATAAGTTTAAAGACAAGAACAGAGACAAATAAATATGTATTATTTTGTTTGAGAAGATACCTTTCTAATATGATGTAAGGAATTATTTCCGTGCCAAACGTATATTTTTCCATTTTTGGTGTCTAACAATACGAATGAACCTCTGCTTCTCAATTGTCGAGTGCTGCAAGGGATTTCAGTCAAAAATGTCTCAGACTCCAAAGTACCTCGGCAGATATATAATCTCCATCGTTTCTCATGTTTCTCCTCAGATTTCTTACCACTGTGAATTGTCATTCTTCCAGAAAATAAATTTAAAAATGCAGCCGATTCGTGTCCTTGAACAACATGAATCTACAAAAAAAAAAAAAAAAATAAACATAAATAGTACACTATATATATTGTGCATTAGAGAACTTTATACTGTGTTCAGTGTTCAATCATGTCTCTTACCTGAGGGCCTCGATTGCTATCTAATTCAATAGTCAACAATGCCGCAGCACCTCGTTCATTCAAAGATGCGTCTCGACCTTGCCAAATAAAATATGCAGTCCTATCGCGACCTTTAGCTGAATGTTTAGACGGCAAACCACTGAGTTCTCTACCTGTGAATATAAAGAACAAATTTAGAAATGATTAATAAGTAAACACAATTGAAAATATGATTAATAAATATAATAATGCGTAATTGAAAAACTTATTTAAATAATATTAGTCATATTTCAAAAAGTATAAAAAAGTGTAGAAAGAAAGAAGAGAAATCTAAAAGAAGTTTGCACGTTAGAAAATGAAATAATTTAAGATAACTTGCAAAAATATCTTTACTTTTGTGATATTGCACACAAAAAAAAAAAAATCTCACCAGTAATTGTAACGGAATATGTCCATTGAACAATATAGCTATCACCAGAATAGAATTGGCCAATGGACGATCCATGTAAAAGCGTATGTGAAAATTCATCAATATGCCATACCATCACACTCGTTGTATTGACAACATATTCTTTCTTTAACTAAAATTAAATCAAATTTTTATCAAGGACAAGCTAATAAACATTTTGTTCTTAACTGTAAAAATTTGTGTCAGGTAATGAATATATCTTTCGTATTAAGCTAAAAGAATAAATTACCTCATTATCGTAGCAACCAGTGCCTCTACCTAAATGGCAGCCTTCTAGAACCAGATTGACTGGAGTAACGTTTGGCAACCACATATCGTCGCTATCGTCCAATTGCACAGTTATGGTACCGTCAATTTGTTCCGTAATATTGTCTTTTCGGCCTCGTGTCTTTATGGTGCCAGTGACAGTAGGCCAATCGAGAAACTTTTCCCGGAAAAGTATTGTTTCAACGTGTTGTGTCAGTTTTGCGAGTAAACACCATTCGGGTCTGTTCTTGGCAGATTTCGCGAACGGGTTTGCATGCAAATCGTTGCTCCGATCGCCAATCATGTGGGCCGCATTGATTGGACAAGCGGTACATTCGCTGTAATCATAGCCGTCATTCCACATTTTCGTGGCAAGTCGAGTAGCAATCTTCTTTTTGTCCGCCGAGACTCCTTTACCACTCCAGATGTACATTTCACTGCCAAAGTCGAACACTAAAATCTTTGTAAAAGACAACAGAGACATAAATGTTATCAATAAAATCAGAAAATATACTTGTAGCTTTGCAATTACTTCAAATTATATTTACCTTATTTTTATCGAGCATTTCTATCTTAGGAAGTGTAGCCCAAAACTTTCCATGCGGCACTAATTGTTGGTTTTTTAACTCATACACCATATTTGTGTCGATGATAGCTGATTCGTACAATTCATCTTCGTCAGGATGACCAGCTTTAGTAACTGCAGGAATATTACAAATGTGTCATAGAAAAACGTATAAATTCAAGTACATAATAATAATGAATACAAATAGAATAAAACGTACCGTTTAACTTTTCGATATCGTGCACGCCAAGATAACTCCAAAATTTTTTGACTTGATTCCTCGTACAAGTTACTTTGTCTTCGTTTATAACAATAACTTGAGCCGCTTGACAACCTAAGTCCTTTTGTTGCTGAATACTCAACGCGATCTCAGCGGCACGGGTTTTCTCAATGATGTTACAATATTTTCCTACGTAGTTAAAAATCTACAAATTATGAAGAGTCAATTTTATTAACGATTACTAAAGAAGAGTGAAAAAAAAAAAAATGAGCACATTTCAAATGATATTCTTCAGTGATATAAAAAAACAAATCGGTTAACAGGCATTACATTATTCTCTTTCTCTCTCCGCAATGTATATTATCATTACCTCTGATTTTGTCACAAGTATATAGCTATCACCGTCATTAATACTATCGGCGATAGGCTCAACCAGTCTGACTTGAATGTGTCGTCTTCCTTTAACCAATATCAGCATTACGTCTTTATACGGTTGCAGTTTATTCGCGGATACGCTTGTTTCCGAAACATTTCTCAAAGTAACCGAGCTAAAATCCTCGGTAGAAGCCAAACCGGCAAGAGCCTCGATGGCGAAAGACGAGCTTTTAGCGACTGGAATGTTGATCAAAAAATTGTGTCTTAATTGCAACTTAAAATGTAAAAACTATGCATCAAATATAATTAATAAAATGTGCAAAAAAAAAAATATATAGATTTATAACTCACGTTTTTCTATGTTTACGTTCTGATACGTCCTTGTAGCAATATCCATACGAATTTCGGTATATTCTGATTTTAAATCGGTGCGTGCCGCGAGAGCTTTGAGAGGATTTCTCGAGGCGACTCGTCGACGTTGCGCTCGTATGTTCCTTTTCTGCACTAATCTGTTAAAACAATAAATTTGAGTTAGGTAGCATTTGCATGTTATTAACCTTTTTAGCAATTTTTGTTTTGCTTTCTCTCTTAGAGTTTTACAATGATGAAAAAAACGAAAATTTACAATTCAGATTGTGGTGTAATTACGTCGAAGTCGCTTTCGTGTAAATCAAGACACTCGGTCTCGCACTTTTCCAACGATACACCGCTGAAGAAAGAGGTGAACGTTTCGTCGTCCGTTTTTGGTATTGAAATAGTCGGCGACAATACATTCTTCGTTTTACACTCGTCACCTGTAAATCATAATAAAAACTAAATTCACTAAATAAAAAATCCTTTGTAAATTTAAAAAGAACTAGATTTTACTCTCTTAAGCATGAAATATATCGCAAACTTGTACAAACTGTCTCAGAAGATTCTACACACACAGAAGAAATTATTTTTGTGAGCAAAGTTTCATAGAAATTATACTAACCGCTATCATCGCTAACAGGTTCAGAAAAACTCGTGCGTGTAGCGGGAGACAGATCTTTACACGGACTGGTAGGAGTCGACGCCGCGCCGTTGTTACATCCTGTAATCCCAGTTTAGTTTTTCAATCATTGTTCCCGGCTTTAAGAAGAAGAAACTTTCTTGAGCGTAGAAATTTATATAAAATTTTTACCTTTTCTCGTTCTGAATCGTTGCGGACGAGGTACTTTCTTCTTTTGACTTAACGTAACATCCGCCGTCGCTTTTGGAAGAAACGGTGAGGCGACGTCTTTCGATTGAGTCACTTTCATTTTGCCAGCTACAGTGAAGTTGATCGCGTCGGATGCTGCAATTCTGCTCTTCCAGTTTTCCGTGGCAGACTCGAGCTTTTCGAGGCAGTTAGCCAACACGCCCGACTTGACCGGTGTCGTGCTCTCATCCGCGCTAAAAAGCGAATCGTCGCACGTTTCGTCAACTCTGCCACCCGCCACGCGTCTTCTCCAGTTAGTGCTGCCGTTATGACGTAAGGCGGCCAACCGATCGGCGATACTAACGCTTGGTGTCTCACTCGTCTCTATCGATGCTAACACTTGTGTCGCGCTGCGACATAGCCCCGGTAACGGCAAACCACGGTGCTGTTTTCGCCTGTCGTCCTCGAAAGAGTGTTGACTGACACTCTTAGCTAGTAAATTAACAGAACCTCGTGCGACGCCAACGCGCTTTTCATTGGTAATAATGTTGTGTATCTCGTGACCGCCGGAAGACGACGACGCGCGATCATCATCTTCGTCATCATGTTTTGCAACCGCTTCTTCTTCTTCTTCTTCTTCTTCCTCCTCCTCTTCCTCCACTTCCTCCTCTTCTTCTTTATCGATATCCTTTTCATTATCGTCAGTTTTGTTAATCTTGTTCACGTCATCGTCATTATCGCCAACATCTAACCGATTCAACTTATCCACCAAAAAATTTTCATTCCGTTTGTTGCCATATCTTTTTGTTGCAAAACTTGGAACTGCGTCAATTTTAAAATTGTCCACATTGTCCAACGAGGAGGTTTCGTTTTGAAATATTGTAACTTTGTGCGAAGACGTTGCAGCTTCGTTTTTTTCAAAAGTGTCGCTTTCGTTAGAAACAATCGTCTGTGTATCGTCGCAATGACAATGCGAACTAAGTCGTGCCATATTGCTCACGTTAGAGTCATTTAATTTCTCGCAAAGTTTAGTGATCTCGCTGCTTTGATTTTGGTTCTCGATGCTACGTGTACTTCCTTCAGTTCTCGATATTCTTACCGCATCATCAACAACATTGGCAGTTTGAACAAGCCTCGAGTGAGGATTGCTTTTTAGAATAGAACGCGGATGCACTTCGAAATTTGACAGGGTCGTCAACGGTTGTTCCGGTTCCTCAGATTCTTTCTTGAGCACGGACTTTATCAATTTTATACCTCGCAATTCCGGACTTTTGGCACGCGACAGACTTTGTGTATAACCGGTAGAAGACTTTAAAATACTTTTTGGTACATCATGTTGCGATGCTGTTGCAAGCGGAGGTGAATAAAGTGGTCTCTGATATTCTTTCGAAAATCCTGGAACATGGAAAATGTTTTTTTTTATAGCAAGTTTTATACAAGTAACTTTTTAAATAAATACTACAATATTATCTCTATATATTACCTTCATCCAAAGATGGAATTTGTTGATTCACACTCAACGGTGATATTCGTGACGCTACTTCGACTTCCTCGGATGTTACAGGCTGAGTTTTGTAGCGGGTGGACGGTCGTCTTCTTTGATTGAATCTTTCCTGATGTACGGTGCTTGTCGCGACTGTTTCCGCAGTGGCGATCTTTTGATTGAAGAGTCGCACGCGTTCTGCCAAGCTCAACTTAGACGGTTCAGGCTCATCATCCGGCGCTCCCGCAACGTTCAACGCAGCATTGCGCTGATTCTGTAAAACTGCCTCGCGCACTTCTTCGAACGTCACCGGCTGGGTGTTGAATCTTTCACCGCCTTGCGTTTTGCGTTCGCGATAACGTTGGACGCCGTGTGACGATCTCCTCGCAGACCGCTGAGAACTGTTTTCCGCAGTCGCAACGTTTGCTTTTTCTTGCAAAGCCTTAAAGTGTTGTGTCATTTTTGACACGCTGTTGCTACGACGAACAACGGCATAATCTTCATAAACATTCTGCGTAGTTTTCGATTCATCGTTTTCGACGGTATCTTCCTTGTCGGATGTTTGATCGATAATTTCCATCGCTTCGCAGTTGCTTGAATCGGGATCGATTTTCACGAAATACGCGTGTGACTCCGTCTTATCCTTCTCATCCATGTTGTTCACGTTACTACTTTGCTTACTTTTGCTAGATCCTTCAAGTTTACTTTCTTTAATTATACCGGAACTGAAAAACACACAATCGTATATAAACTCATTAACATCAATATAACTCACAAGCGTAACAAATTTGTTAAAAATAAAATTGTTTTTTTTTGTTTTTTTAGATTAACTAAAATAATGCTCTGCAAACAGTTTATTCGCAAACATACGTAGCACACGACTATCTCCAATTTCTGGTAGCTGTAAGAATCGCTAGATGATCTATAATTAAATTTGGCACGGAATCAAAAAGCCCCACTAAACTCTCGCATATAGCTTTAGCAAGTACAACAGGTTAATCTGTCCAGAGATCTAATATTGTATACGCAAGAAAAAACTTACTCTCACGTTAGAAAGTTAGTTGCAACTTGGCTAAAATTCCTTTACAAAATTGATAACGCAAGATCCGTAAACTAAAGAATGTTAGTTAACAATTAAATAACAGAAGTATTCGCGCGAAATTTTATATATATATATATATATCTCAATAATTGTTATTTTGTTTATTAATATTGAGAGACATAGATGCGAACATACCTATTTGCCACGTAGGAGATTTCATCGGAACAATCGGCTTCAGTTTCCGTAAAACCGCATCGCTGGGGTATCGGAATACGCGACATGTCGACGGGCGAACTAGACTCGAGAGATCTTCGTTTGGTTAGCATCCGAATCGGATCCACATGATCGTCGCTGTTCGCAGATCGCGCGTGACCTACGGATTGAGCTCTTTTTCGTAAAAATGAGTTCGCCGCTAAATCGCGCGCGTCTTCGTGATAACGACTACCGCTCGACTGTTTCAATATGGGTCGCACATTCTCGATCTCCAACGATCGATTCTTGAGCGCGGACAATTTTCTCGGCGAAGCTAACTCTGTCTCGTAACAACCGTCCTCGTACGAATTCTTTCGGGAAGACTTTAAGATCGTTTTCTTCGGTTTATCGTGCTCGTGCTCGTCCGATTCCGTGCTCGATTTTTTCTTCAATATAGGTCGAGGCTCGAGCGACAAAACATCGCAGCCGTTAAGTTCTTCTCTGCCGTATTTTTTTTTCAATATCGGTCTCACTTCGGATCCATCGAGGCTCTCGGAGATGAGACTCGCGTTCGTGCTAGCGATCGAGCTTCCGCTCGCGTTTGTACTCGCTACGTCCGACACGATAGTCACATGATGACCAACGCTGTTGGCGCGAACGCTATTCGCAAGCTTTCGTTTCAAGATACTTTGTGGCTCTGGAGAACCCAGCGACCGATGAATTTCCCTGTCATCTTCTCTGGACGATTTGCGTTTTAATATAGAGGCGGGTTGATCAGGACTCTGATCCCTTTTAACGATCTCGTCCAGCGATGATCGCCTTTGGTTCTTCAGGATCGGCCGAAATTCCGAATAAGTGTTGTCGGCGAATGAAACATCGGGAGAACAGCTACGACGACGTAATATCTCGCTTTCGTCTAAACTGCTTCGTTTTTTTAAAATTCCGTGTCTCTTGTGAGAAACTGACGGTTCCGTAACAGATGGCGAGAACGTTACGGGTGACGGCGCGTGTGGAGAACCACCGAACGACGCTTGGCGATCACCTCCTTCGCCGTCGATCGCTTTATGTTTAAGAATAGAAACTGGCGTGTGTTTCGATATAGTACATTTTTTTGGCGACACCGACGTTTTCTCGGAAACAACGTGCACGTTTTCGGACGAATGATTCGCACAACTCGTTGCAAATGCGAGCCTCTCAACGCGTTCCATCGTAGCTCGCGTTAGAGCCGTTAACGCGTCCACTCTGCGTGAAATTTCCGAACTAGTTACACTACTACTGAAAATCAAACATCAATATTTCATTACATTAGTTTCTTAACTAACAAGATAAGCAATCTAATAAGATTTAGCGAAGATAATAAGATAAGAATCTTATTATCTTTGCTAAAAAAATGTTAATAAATATATTTGTTATTGACAAAAGACAAAGATATATATATAATAGAATATTTCTCTTTCTTCACTTTCTATTTTAATATAATGTTATCTATTCTTATATTGTAAAGCAATACGTGTGTCATCATTTGAGAATTCTGTAACATTCTGTGGACTATGAGCTGAGACGACGATATATTATATACCTTGGCTGTACAATCGAGCGCTTTGTGCTGATGCTAGCAGATACGACGGAAGATGAGGAGCAAGTCTTAGAAGGATTCTTCGTAATACTATGCTGAGATCCAATTAATTTCGAATCGGTATATTTTCTACGTGGACTGGTCATTTGAGTTTTTGCCGCAGAATTACCACATGAGTCAGGACTTGAAACCATTTCGGATATCTGACCTCGCTTAATTGATTGTCTTCTAGAACGTCTTTCAGTGGATTCGACTACGTGTATAAAAATAAAAATTTTATCTATTAAACATTTCAAAATTCTACGATTATCTAATAGATTATATAATCTAGCTAAGAGGCTCCAAATTTCTATATTTAGAAAAATTAAATTCCTTTTATATACTTTTGCAAATTTATATGTTTTCAATACTCTGGCTTTTTAGTTCATAACGTTAATAATAGTTTATTAGATTATATAGTTTTCATTTTAATATTTACTTTTATTGATAGACTTACTTTCATTTGAATGATCAACAGGTGCTGTTTCCGCGTGACGTGACCTGTTTAAGTAAGATTTACGTTTGTAGCTCTTATCTCTTTCCTTGACAGAATTCATGGTGACACTACTGTCTAAAGGTGTGGAATTTTTCTGCATACAGATATACATAACATATATTTATATATACATATATATATATATGTAATGTGTATAAATTCAATTACGCGCGTTTGTTCCCGAAACGACGACACGGAACAGGCTTTCNTATATATATATATATATATATATATATATATATAAATTGTAGATTTCACACACACACACATATACATATATATATAATGTGTGTGTGTGTGTGTAGAAAGCATATAAATTGTAGATATTTGCTCATATACAAATAATTTTGCATTGTTTATTACTTACTTGCTTACTTGATAAACTATATCTCTGAGAACCAGGAGCTTCTGATCCAAGTAATCTTTTTGATGATAATGTTACATCTGTGTATATATATATATACACATATAATATAAGAAAATTCATTCTTATTCAAGAATCACATCAAATTTATAAACAATATTAAATGCGATCGAAATTATATACAATATATGATATACTTAAATTATATATGATATACTTAATTGTAAAATGTTATATAAATTTAATCATAATGGATATATTTAAAACTCACCACTTGGCGCTATGGAAGCAGCCCGTAATCTGGAAGTTCTGGTCTCACGAATCTGAGTAGTTTTGCAAGTTACAAAACCACTCTTAGGGCTTTCCTTGGGTTCTATTTTAGATATTATTTTATCATTTTTTTCTGTAAGACTACGTTGTTTCTTTTCTACTGTAATAAAAATAACATGTAATTTTGACTTATGTTTGTTTTCAGGATCAAATCAAGCACATATAAAAGTAATTTCTTTTTCAAATACAAATAAATACACACACACACACACACATATATATATATATATATATATATATATATATATGTTATCTTATTGTTTTAAAATATCTTATTATTTTTTATCTCAAGTCTTTCTCAAGATTTAAGAAATATAATTTACAGATGTCAAATACAAACCATTGAAATATATGTGTGTACAAGTATAAATGTACAATTACACATATATTAATATATAATTAATCTGTATAATTAATTACTTTTTGAATTTTTAAAAAATAAAGCTGTTTGCAATGTGTTATTATATCTAAATTCTCAGAACTTACTAATATTTGAAGAACATGTTGCTGTATCTCCTTTAATCGAAGAGTCAATATTTCTTTGACTACAATACTGTATCTCACTATATCGTGAAGTACTTTGGTTTGCAGATTGCGTTGTACCACTTCCTGTCTCACTTGATGAATTCTCCTCGCTAGCTGCCATCAAAACTGTGGCACCGGCAGCTACCATTACTAAAAATATCATATCAAGTGTTAAGTTTGTTTTCTTGGTATAATTCTTATCATCATAATACATATATTATTCTTGTAACACATGTATTATGATTTGAAAAATTAAAATTTACCTTTGAAAATTTTCTGTACAAAAATCATTTGGAACTCTATTGCAACTCTATTGTAAGTGACTTAATTAATTGATTGAATTTGACAGATGCAGATATATATATATATACATGTACAGAGACAACCATATGTGGGCACATGTATGTACATAAGAGGAATGATGAGATCACACAGGCGCGCGCGTGCACACGCACATACACGCTTAGAAAAAGAAAAAGGGAGCAAGAAACACAAAAAGAGATTATCAGAAAGAGATTGTCAGAAAAAATTAGCAGATATTTTTAACTACTTCAGGACAGTTATGCGTGCACATCAATTTGACATACTCACTTGACAGAACTTAATACACGGTTTCCTGCGACGCGGCCATAATTTCACTCTCGAAAACTTTTTAGAAAGGAACTGTCGGACACAATCGAGAGAACGTAGCAGATGACGCGTATTACTTATGTGACTAATATTTCACAGCGCTATACTTAAATAAGTACTATGTATAAAACAATTACTCCCCGCGGAACAATCAGCCGTGCAATCTGTACAACAAACTTTCAAGAAATATTCGCATCATTTACACCAGGTATTGAAAAAATCGACGATTAAACAAAAAGACAATTTTATATTTTCGCGAGAATCATGTCATTCTAGTGAAACGATCGTGTCAATAGGCACGTTCAGCGCGGAGAAAACTGTGGAGTCGTTGACTTGTAACATTCCAACGTGATTCGTTGGATTTAAAGGAAAGTGAAGGAAAGCACAAGTATATCTATATATATACGACACGGTTGCTGTCACATGTTATAGACAGTTTCTATGAACATAAACTATTAAGGGTCGTCTACAATGGAGAGTTGTAGACCGTAACAGTAAGAAATTGACAAATCACAATCGATTATTCTTCTGTACTTTGTCTGTGATTGGTCCTTTTCTTACTATTACGGCCTACAACTCTTCATTGTAGACGGCTCTTAAAAAAAAAAATTGTAGTACATACATAGGGTGCGTTCAGACTACTCAACAGTTGCACAACGGTTGAGAGATAATCACTTCTGATTGGATCATACTTTTGGAACCGTAGCAGATTTTGAAGAATAGTCCTATCATAAGTGACGATCTCTCAACCGTTGAGTTGTCTGAACGCACCCATAGATTATCTAAAGCCGGATTGGCCGATTTCTACATTCGGATTTTGAAGCTGCAACTTGCCATTGGTCTAGTTTTCCACCGAAGCGTTAATTCACACTCAAAGCCCGTTCTACATTTTGATCGCAAGCAGAGAGAAACCCGAGAGCGGCCATCCTATTGTAATTTTTTACGACGGTTTCAGCCGCTGNTTTTAGCCGTATTTCCACAAAAGTGGAACTCAAAGGCCGTTCAACATTAAACGCAAGTCGCAGATCTCGTGGAATTGACCAATTGC